CCCACCGACGAGGATTTGACCCATTGCAGGTGTCAAGTGGGTAACAGTAGCGCTATACTCGCGCATCCACTCAGCGAGTCTCTCGTTCTGAATATCCTCACGAGCCGGAACCAACAGCTGGGCTCCCAGGAAGAGGGGCGTGAAGATATCTCGCTGAATAGGATCGTGAGCGATACCACTCAGCATAGTGAAACGATCATCGGGGGTAAGCTTGAAGGTCTCGGACATCCAGGGGAAGTAGTATGCCAGAGAGAAATGACGTCCTCTGACGCCCTTTGGTCTACCCTCAGAACCGGAGGTGAATGACAGAGTCGGGGTCGAGTCGGGACCGACCACGACGCCTACCGGCTTGGACTTCAAAGAGACTTGGTTGGCGAGGACATCTTGACCATCGACAGATCCTCCAACCAAAGTACCGTCATCACGCAGTGCGAGCGCGGGAATCTCGGTCCGCAGCTCGAGGTTCTCATCGATGAAAGAACGAACAAGCTGAGTCAGTTCGCCGGCTTCCTTGGTGGCCTTCGCGATGTTAATGAGCGCTCGCGGGCGGGCGACATCGAGGTAGATGCACTGTCTCTCAGGCGGGTAGGCAGGATCGATGACCGAGAAGGTTGCACCGGCCTTGAGAATACCCATGACAGCTACCACAAGGTCAACGCCACGGTAGGCATAGACCATGACAACATCTCCCCTCTCGATGCCAGCCTGGACCAGGTGATGGCCAAGGATATTGGACGCCTCATTGATTTGCCTGTAGGTGAATTCACGGTGAGGAGACTGCTCCGACTTGGTCTCCACCACACAAAGCCTGTCCGGATGCTTCTCGGCATTCTGTGCAAAGATATCATGGATAGCTCCGCGAAAGTTGGACCAATGCAGATCCGATGTGGGGTCTGGTAGCAGCGACCGCTGATCCTCCGTCATGAAATCAATTCTTCCAATCGTCTCCTCGGGGTTGCTAGAGGCGTTCTGCACAATCTGCGCAAGCTGCTTCAGAATGATAGCAATCCTGGCGCTTGAGAACAGACGCTGATTGTAGTATGCACCCAGCTCCGTCTCCGTCGTAGACCCATTCGCGTTTGCAACATTGACAACCAGGTCGGTAGTTTCGAAGGTGTTGGCAGGGTATTCTTGTGATGAGGCAGGGGCATCGTAGGCAGCGAAGCGAAACAAAATCGGGGCACGTTCTGACTTGGTCTTGTCCTGAATGTAGGACCGTAGACTTCCCAACGGAACTATATCGGCAGCTCCTTGATTGAATGCCTGTTAGACGGTCAGAGATGGCCAACAATGAACGACAGTACCACATACACTCTCGACTTTAGAGTATAGCTGTTGGAAGGTCTCCGACTGTCCAATTGAGACCCGCAAGACAAATGGCCGGCCATCTTCTGCTGAGCTGGTTGCGACAGCGATATCCTCATCGCCGGTCAAACGAGCTACGAGGACAACAAAAGCAGTCAAGAAAGCAATGAATCCGGATGATGATCCAGAGATCTTCTGCAATCCTGCTTGCACATCCTTTGACAGCTTGAGGGATTCAAAGGCCTCAATTGCTCTCTTCAGATCCGCCTTTTGGTTCTCGGGATAGTCCCGCGTCAGAGGAGACACTGTTAAATTTTGAAGCCTCTGCGCCCATCTCTCGAGACGATCTTGTAAGGAGGCTGTTTCAACACCCATATTTGCGGTCAAGATGCCCAAAACTCTGTTTGGGCCCTCAACTTACACAACAGGGGATGAATATTATTCAGAGACGGAGTAGAAGAATAATATGATGAGTCAAGAGGGGCATCTGAGAGAAAAGTGCCGATTTCGCTGGCACAAGCCCCACAATCATCTTTCTGTCGCTGTCACCGCCTTTTGGGGTTATCGGGATTGGATGCCTAAGGCCGATATTCTACCTGAGGCATTCAGGCATCAAGGCAGCAGGGCACCTAGATCTGGCACTGCCACTGCTCGCCGCATTAGGACTAGCGTACTCCCTACCTCATGGATGCGGCTGTGCAGGTACCTGGTACCTAACTCGTTTAAGCTGCGACCATACTGTTCTTGGGTCCAAAGTACCTCAGTCCTTGATGAGGTGGTACGGAAGATCAAGGTCTACGGAGTACGCTGTACGGATACGAATGGACCTCACAGTATCAGCACTGGTTCAGCTCTGCTCATTACTTGCGATGACCTGAGTATTCGTCTTGTTTTTGTCGTTGACTCGTTGCAAATGTAATTGTTATGCCGATCTGCTTTGACTGAGAAATTTCCACTTGAATAACCGCAATCCCGACCGCAGCGTCGTTCTTTACACACTCTTTTTCAGGAGTCCGACCCCTGTCCTGTCGTAACCATCAGAATCTGCTCTCTCTCTAGGAAGAGAGAAAGATGATTCCACATCGAAGCACCGCTCTCCTGACCATTATCGTTTTTGTCGCCCTCGTACTGGTAATATTCTCCTCCTCCCCTAGTTCCGCCGCATCACCCTCTGGGGAAGAAGTGGTCACTGGCCCAGCGAAATATGTTCCCCGGCCTAAGCTCCCGTCTCTGAGCGACTATCACCTGCCATTCTTCCGGCCAGCTTCCCATAAGCCGCCGGAACAGAAGAATAGTACCAGCGGCGAGTCGAAATGGTTCAGCAACTTTGCGTGGATCAACCCTTTTTCGTCGTCCATCACGCTCGATGAGAACCGTTCCGTACTGCCTCCGCTTCGAGAGAGGCCCTTCATCTACACCTATTACGAATCGAATCACGGAGATAATAAGGATGCGGAGAATGCTGATGCGCAGCTTCTTCTCGCCTGGCGTCGGGCTTGGTTCGCTCAGGGGTTCAGGCCGGTCGTGCTCGGCCGTGGAGAGGCGATGAACAATCAGCTCTACGAGATGGTGCAGACCTCGAAAGTCAGTGAAGATCTTGAGAATGACTTGTTCAGATGGCTTGCCTGGGGACATATGGGCACCGGATTACTTGCCGATTGGCGTTGTTTCCCAATGGCGCGATACGATGATCCGCTGCTGTCTTACTTGCGACGGGGGGTCGATCCTGCGCAGATTACACGATTCGACCACATTGGCAGTGCTCTTTTCGCTGGCGAGAAGACACGTATCAACGATGCTCTCAAGAATGTGGTCCAAAATGCCCTCAAGAGTGCGGACGAAAAGGCGAGATCCATGTTGGACATCATGTCCGCGGAGACTTTCAAGGTCGAACAGCCGAGCGCTCTGGCTTTCTACACCTCTGCTACAATCACCACTCACTATCCGACACTCGCAGAGAAGATCGTTTCATCGCCGACCGCTGGAAGGCTCGCACTCGTCGAGCTGATCAACTCCCATCTACATAGCACGTTCCAGAACTCCTTCCAAGCCGGTATTGCTGTTTTGAAGCCCTTCCCTGAGCATACGACCGCCCTAGTGGAACCCGCCTTGCGCCTTGCCAGAGCCCTCGGTCAATGCCCGAGCTCGCCCATGCCCGATTCTTGCCCTCCAAATCTTCAAAAATGCCACCCGTGCAACCCTGACCGGCCGATGCATATCAGCCAGCCCGCTACCTACAAGAACTCATCGCACGTTTTTACGATAGGCACTCTCCCCCACCCATACACTCTGATTAGCCTGCAGCAGGGATCTGAGGAAGTGACCACTCGGCATATCCGCCGCGAAACTGAACGCGACCCATGGCTGACGGAAGTGACTAAAGACCGATTGAGCAGTGAGCTTGGAGGTTCTGCCCGAGCGGTCGTGCTGAAGCAGGCAGTTGCAGATGATTCGGCAATTGGCACTTCCTTGTGGATGACTGTGGAATCATTGCCAGCCGACGGTGGCCAGGTCCTGCCTTCTGAACTTCTGGACGAATTCGAGTGGCAGTTTGGATTCAAGATCCCTCGCAGCAGCCCCGCCGAAACTAAAAAAGAAGGCGGAACGAAAGAGTCTACGCAAAATGCCAACAAAGAGTCTATGCAGAACGCCAACCCAAGCAAACAGGGCATTCAGAAAGAGTATGATCTAATCACAAAGGCAAGGGAAGTCTTGAAGAGCAAGGAGACCAACAGGATTGGTATCAAAGACGTGGCTGAAGCTTGGAACCTGGCGGACACTGAAATCTGGCGCTTCGTCAGAGCTTATCGGTTCGTGCTTCCATATCCCTTATACATGGCGTACATGAGTTCATTGACTAATGTCTACTCCAAATAGGGCCCGAAGCGTCGTTGAGCGCAAGAAATGGGAGGAAGAAGAGAAGGATTTCGTTGGTGCTAGGCCCAAAGAATAGAGGGTCAATTGAAAAGCGTCTTTCATTGTTGAACATTGTCTCATGGCTCGCGTTTCTTTTGATACTCTGGAAAGCTTCTTACTTCTGAGATATACTTCTATCGTCTTGTGTTATAATATCCGTGTTTATATGGGCAATGACCCGGGTGAGCATATGGGTTGGCGTTGCTGACTGAGATAATAATAAAGGACCAGTGATGTTCAATCGATTCGATATACACACGTGCCTAACAATCTGAGAATAATGAATACTAGGTACCTAGGTAGATACCCCGAGTACTCTGTTCCTCGGCTTGTCTCGCAGTATTGCTCCCCATTGGCAGGAACTCCAACCGTGGATGGAGGCCGTTGCTTTCCGCTGTCCAACTGCTCATCGGATGGTGGCGATCCCCGCAAGGGGGGCGATAACGAGTGGGGTGAGCCAAGCGATAAGAGGCGATAACTACTACTAGTACGGAGTACATGGCATCCCACCACGTACCTACGTATCTTATCCAGATCACGCTAGGTGATGGATTCATCTGCTGCTGCTTGAATTATCGTTGACAAACCAATTGCTCATAAACTGGATCCGACTGATTGTTGATCTGTCTCTTCTATCCTCCGGCGGACTAATGCATACCAGCTTCTCCGTCTGACTCTACAGTCTACACAAACGAAGCTATCGCCTGCGCTGGGCGAGCTCTCCTTGACAGCATCTAAAGATAGAGAACCCAGACTTTGAACCCCGTTTGAGGCTCGCAATGGCGCCTGGAATCTTGACGTCGCCGGATGTGGAGGAGAAGCCCTCCAAGGCTGTTTCATTGGCCCAGTTGACCGAGGACTGGGATGACACAATTCGTTTCTACCTCAATGGCACAAAAGTCATACTCGATAACGTCGATCCAGAGCTCACCCTGTTAGAATACTTAAGAGGGATAGGGCTGACGGGAACTAAGCTGGGTTGTGCAGAGGGAGGCTGCGGTGCCTGCACCGTTGTAAGTCAGGATGACCTGTCTTTGTCCCAGGAATTCTAAATCCGTACAGGTTGTCTCCCACATCAACCCAACAACCAAGAAGATCTACCATGCATCTGTCAATGCTTGCCTGGCGCCGGTGATAAGTGTGGATGGGAAGCATGTTATGACGGTTGAGGGCATCGGGAATGTGAAGAACCCCCACGCAATTCAGCAGCGGCTGGCGATTGGAAATGGCAGTCAGTGTGGCTTTTGTACACCTGGAATTGTCATGGTATGATCTTCGTACACCAAAAGATCTCCGTTGATTAGGCTGAGCTGATTGATCGATATTCTAGAGCCTCTACGCACTTCTTCGCAATAACCCCGAGCCCTCGCAACACGCGGTCGAAGAAGCTTTTGACGGGAACCTTTGTCGCTGTACGGGGTACAGACCGATCTTGGACGCCGCCCACAGTTTTACAGCCGCAAATATATGTGGGAAAGCAAGTGCCAACGGTGGAACAGGTTGCTGCATGGAAAAACAGAATGGTACCGGAGGATGCTGCAAACAGTCGTCAAACGAGGACAGCAATGATGGCAGTTTCCCAAAATTTACACCCCCTGACTTTATCAAATACGATCCAGGGACGGAATTGATATTCCCACCGGCTCTCAAGAAGCACGAGTTTCGACCCGTCGTCTTCGGCAACAAGAAAAAGAAGTGGTACAGGCCTGTCACTGTGCAGCAACTATTGGAGATCAAAAGCGCACACCCTGCGTCCAAAATCATCGGTGGAAGTACGGAGACTCAGATCGAGGTGAAGTTCAAGGCAATGAAATATAATGCGTCTGTTTACGTGGGCGACATTCCAGAACTTCGTCAATACTCTCTCAAAGACGACCATCTTGAACTCGGAGCCAATGTCTCTCTCACGGATTTGGAGTCAATTTGTGACGAAGCTGTTCAAAAGTACGGCCCGGTACAAGGTCAGCCGTTCAAAGCCATCAAGAAACAACTTCGGTATTTCGCAGGAAGGCAGATTAGGAATGTTGCGTCCCCCGCGGGTAATCTGGCCACGGCATCTCCCATCTCCGATTTAAATCCTGTGTTCGTCGCTACGAACACTGTTCTCATCGCCAAGTCTTTGAGAGGGGAAACCGAGATCCCCATGGGCCAGTTCTTTCAGGGTTACCGGTTGACTGCCCTTCCAGAAGATGCCATCATTGCAAGCTTGCGTATTCCGATCTCGTCCAAACAGGGAGAATACATTCGGGCTTATAAACAGTCAAAGAGAAAGGATGATGACATCGCCATTGTCAACGCCGCTCTGCGTGTGTCACTTTCTCCTTCGAATGACGTGACGAGTGTGAACCTCGTTTTTGGTGGCCTAGCACCCATGACGGTATCCGCACGCAACGCAGAGTCTTTCTTGATCGGCAAGAAATTCATGAACCCTGCGACGCTCGAGGGGACCATGAGTGCTTTGGAACGCGACTTTGACCTAAAGCATAGCGTCCCTGGTGGGATGGCAACTTATCGCAGGTCTCTAGCCCTTGGATTCTTCTACCGATTCTATCACGATGTGCTCTCTGAGATTGAGGTCAAAGATACAGATGTTGACGAGGATGTCATTGCTGAGATTGAAAGAGCTATTTCCTCAGGGCAGAAAGACCACGAGTCCTCGAAGGCCTACCAGCAGAGAATTCTAGGTAAAGCTACGCCTCACGTGTCTGCGTTGAAGCAAGCCACCGGAGAAGCGCAGTATACGGATGATATCCCTGCGCAGAAGAATGAACTGTACGGCTGCCTGGTCCTCTCGACCAAGGCTCGTGCGAAGATTGTCAGTGTCGACACTGCAGCCGCATTAGATATCCCCGGAGTCTATGACTATGTGGACCACAGGGACCTTCCTAACCCTCAAGCCAATTGGTGGGGTGCTCCAAAGAGCGATGAAGTATTTTTCGCAGTGGACGAAGTCATGACTGCTGGCCAGCCCATTGGCATGATACTTGCGAGCTCTGCTAAGATTGCCGAAGAGGCTTCACGAGCTGTGAAGATCGAGTATGAAGAACTGCCCGCAATCCTCACAATTGAGGAGGCAATCGAAGCCGAATCATTTTTTGACCACTTCCGCTTTATCAAGTGCGGTGACACCGAGAAAGCTTTCAAGGAAGCGGATCGCGTATTTCATGGAGCATCGAGAATGGGTGGCCAAGAGCATTTCTATCTGGAAACTCAGGCTTGCGTAGCCATCCCGAAACCCGAGGATGGGGAGATGGAGATCTGGAGTGGTACTCAGAATCCCACAGAAACGTGAGTTTTATCCCTTTGTTGCATCCCACTTAGTGCAAGCTGACCCCCCGATAGCCAAACATATGTTGCTCAGGTCACTGGTGTCGCAGCGAACAAGGTTGTTTCTCGAGTCAAACGACTTGGTGGAGGCTTTGGTGGCAAAGAGACGCGGTCTGTTCAACTAGCAGGAATTTGTGCCACAGCGGCCGCAAAGACAAAACGACCCGTTAGATGCATGTTGAATCGGGATGAGGATATCGTCACCTCTGGCCAGCGCCACCCATTCCTCTGTCATTGGAAGGTCGGCGTGACAAAAGAAGGGAAACTCCTCGCACTCGACGCCGACGTATATGCCAACGGAGGCCACACGCAAGATCTGTCTGGCGCAGTTGTGGAAAGAAGTCTCTCCCACATTGATGGAGTTTACAAGATTCCAAACGTTCATGTCCGTGGCCGTGTCTGCAAGACTAATACCGTTTCCAACACTGCCTTCCGTGGGTTTGGTGGCCCTCAGGGCATGTTCTTCGCCGAATCCTTCATGGAAGAGATTGCGGATCATCTTGACATTCCTGTTGAACGATTCCGACTGCAGAATATGTATCAGCCGGGAGACAAAACTCATTTTCACCAGGAGCTCAAAGACTGGCATGTCCCCCTGATGTATAAGCAAGTACTGGAGGAAAGCTCCTACGCGGAACGCCGCAAAGCCGTCGAGGAGTATAACAAGAAACACAAATGGTCCAAGCGTGGAATGGCTATCGTGCCCACAAAGTTTGGCATTTCCTTCACAGCCTTGTTCCTGAACCAGGCCGGCGCATTGGTTCATATCTATCACGACGGCAGCGTCCTAGTCGCCCACGGTGGAGTTGAAATGGGCCAAGGACTGCATACAAAGATGACAATGATTGCAGCGGAAGCACTTGGTGTTCCTCAGTCCGACGTCTTCATCTCGGAGACAGCTACAAACACTGTCGCCAACACATCCTCCACGGCAGCGTCCGCCAGTTCGGACCTCAACGGCTATGCCATCTTCAACGCATGTGAACAGTTGAACGAGCGCCTGCGCCCGTACCGTGAGAAGATGCCCGGGGCCAGCATGAAGGAACTCGCCCATGCAGCCTACTTCGATCGGGTCAACCTTTCCGCTCAGGGCTTCTACCGTACCCCTGATATTGGGTACGTCTGGGGAGAGAACAAGGGGCAAATGTTCTTCTACTTCACCCAGGGCGTGACGGCCGCAGAGGTAGAGATTGACACACTGACCGGCGACTGGACGCCTCTGCGCGCCGACATCAAGATGGACGTCGGACGTACCATCAATCCATCCATCGATTACGGGCAGATTGAGGGCGCTTTCATCCAAGGCCAGGGGCTATTCACCACTGAAGAGAGTCTTTGGCATCGTGCCTCGGGTCAAATCTTTACCAAGGGTCCCGGGAACTACAAGATCCCTGGCTTTAGGGACATTCCACAGGTCTTCAACGTCAGTCTTCTGAAGGACGTCGAGTGGGAGAACCTCCGCACCATCCAGCGATCACGGGGTGTCGGCGAGCCGCCGCTATTCATGGGCAGCGCTGTCTTTTTCGCCATTCGGGATGCTCTCAAAGCTGCGCGCAAGCAGTGGAATGTCAATGAAGTGCTTAGCTTGCAGAGCCCGGCCACACCCGAGCGGATTCGGGTCAGCTGTGCGGATCCCATTATTGAGAGAGTGAGGGTCACGCCTCAAGAAGGAGAGAAGAGTTTCTTCGTCGCAATTTGATCAAGTCTATGGGTGAGAGGGTTTATGATTTACGACATATTGGCTATATATGGCATCAAGGCTTCTGCTTTCTGTTATATTTCCGGATGCAAATTGATATGTATGCATGTTCCAATGCTTGTACAGCAATCATAGCAGTATATGAATGACACGATGCAGTGATTTGGCATTTCTATTGGGGTTCGAGCATCTGTATATCCAGCTCAATGCTCAACAGGTTGGTTCTCATGTGAAGTTATGATTGAAGACATGACATTTGTACGACAGATTGTCGTCTATGGGACGCGAGATGTCAGCGAATGTCGTACAGAATAGATCAATAACATGCATAAATGGGTATGATAGCAACGCTTCACGCCAAAGATGCTAAAATACAGATGAAAAGCATCGGGAAAGAGGACAATGAGACGTCAACGGATCAAAATCCGGATAATCCAGCTAGCGCTTCTCCATGTCATACTCAACATAGCTACTTCCCCGCAGGTCCGAAGCGCCATCCACCTTGAGCGCAGACCCGTAATGTATCTCCCCGGCAAACCCCAACTTCTCATCCTCGTAGTGACCGCTGCTCACGGGGACGGCACTTGAAGCCACCACGGTGCTTGTGGAAGCCTCATACCGAGGAGCCGGGGGTGGAGGCGGCATCGAGCGATTGTTCGTATTCGTGTTTGGAATAGCCGTCAAGGGTACGTCGATGAATCCCCCGGAGTCTGACTCGTGGTGGTTGGCCCGGGATCCTCCTCCCTCACCGCGGCTTCGTTCTCGGACCCAGAACAGACTCAGGGCTCGGATGATGCCGACGAGTGCGATGAATACCCAGATGAGGATAATGACCGCGGATATGATTGTCTCTGTGCGGATGCCGTCCTCGACCTTGTTAACGACTCTGATGACTACCTCGGTGATTTTGTTTGAGGTCTGGTCACCCGCGTCAGCGAGGAAGCTGTCTGAGGCATTGGAGTTATTGCTGGCGATGCTGGCCGCCGCCCCGCGGGAGAAGGTATCGTTTGGAATGAGGGGGAAGTCGATGTGCGCGTGGTCATGGACCCAAGTGAGTCCTTTCTGGATACCTTGGACTTTGAGGCCGACGAGACACTCGAATACATCCATGAGAGGCTCGTAGAGGAGTGTTCCACCGAAGGTGTCATTGAGGACGCCGGTCGTCTTGTCGACGAAAGTGTCCAGCGTATCGTTTAAAGCGGTCGTGCTAGTGTTGACCCAGCCAAGGACGTTCTCGTTCAGGTCTTGGTTCATATGTCCGATGACTCCGTTGGCGTCGTTTGCCCACTCGGCTGAGGCATTCTGTAGGCTGTCGACGACCTTGTCGGCAAACGCGCCGACTTGCGTCGATAGCTCGGGTACGGTCTTCTCGACGGCGTGTAGAAGCAGATATTGACAGAGACAGGAGAGTAGTCCGGCTACTCCGAGACAGAGGACGAACAACGCTGCGGGTGTTGTTGCATAAGCAACCGCCCAGCGTACAAGGATCTGCCTGCGGCTGTTGCTGAACCTGCTCGCGGCTTTGATACCGGCTGCGGCAGTGTACGGTCGAGACACGATGTAGACAACGTCCATGGGGTCATGGGCTTCCTTCCTGACTAGCTGAGAGCGTTCCTTCATTGAGCGCCACCGGCGGATCTCCTGCCATGCCATTGGGACGCAGGCCAGCGTTGCCGCAACGATGAGAACAGCGATGAAAATCTTGCGCGCTGTCATGACCAGATTTGCGACGTTGTCGAAGAACGAGTCTATGCCGTTGTTACCCTCACAGAATGTCAGCTGTTCCTTTGCTGGAATCGGTAGCAAAGATCGGTCGAAAGTGTACGTTCCGAGAGATTCGTTGACGAGCTTTTTGACCTCTTCAAACGGTGTGCGCAAGACGGTTTGAGTAAAATTGTTGACTTCATCGAAAGTCGGAAGTGAGCTATTGAGCTTGTCAAGCCCTTTATCAATTGAAGAAGGCAGTTGGAGGTTCTCCAGCGTGCTGATCGAGCTGTTGAGGTCCAATGTGGGTACACTGGCTCCAAAAGCACTGGCGACGGTGTTAACACCATCAAGAAATTTATTGAATGCGTTTTCGAACGTGCTAACGGCTTTGCCAATGTCGTCACCGACCTCCTTCACAGTGGAATTCAAAAAGTCCGCGGCGTCTTCAATCACGCCCACCGCAACATGTACGCTGCCTCTAACGGCCAGGGTGAAAAGACACAGATAAGTCTGGTACAGCACTTTGATGATGAAGAGGACCAACTCCTCAACACCAGTGATGGTAAGCATCAGCATCGATTTGAGACCGCTCACAGCCTTCTCGACTCCAGTTGCTGTTAGCTCGTTGACACCTTGGGATAAATAATGGGGCATAGAAGCCATCGAGCTACCCATGGATTCGACGCTCGTGCAAGCGGATAGGGCTTCCCGTTTCGCTGTGCTCATGTCCGCCTGCAGACCTGAAGCAGCCAGCAAAACTCTGACCAGGACAAGAAGCAGCAGTATAGTCCATCGGTTGATCCATACTTGCGATAAGCGAGCCCTGAGGCCAAGGTATGGTGTTAGACCGTCCGGAGGCAATGTGATGATATGTCCCTGATTCGGAGTCGGGGCGTGAGCCGCGTAAGGTGGCAGAAGAGGGAATATCGATCGCCCAGTTCTTGAGAATAACATGCTGAAAATCTATATGAAGAACAACTTTGAGCGATAGGCACGCCAGGTGAGGTTTGTAGTCGCAGGCAGAATGTGCAGAAGAGAGATTTTTCAAGAGGAAGTGAAAGGCGAAGCAGAGAAAGAAGAGGGATCCGCAAAGACAGACAAAGAAAATGTTGGCCGGCAACTATTGGCTTCAGAATGAGGAGGATGAATCAGTCTATTGAGATCTCATGATACATGCTCGAGTCTGTTGAAGGTGAATGAAAGAGGCTGTCGTGACAAAGAATAGAAGGGTTAGCGATTGTCAATAAACAACAAAGGAGGCGACAATGACTTAATAAAGCACAATGAATAGAAAAATCAGAGCGGGAAAGGATTTATATCTGCAAGGCAGTTGCCTATTTCCCATTTCAATGGAAATACTCTCTTTCTGACCCGAGCAGACATCTGAGACAGCCATTAGAAGCCTGCCATCGAGCCCGACCACAACCAAGAGGACCAAAAAAAGCAGCCGTGACTCCATAGATCAACATAGATCTAAGGTTTCTGCACCCTGGTCGTTTCATCTTGCGCGAGAAGCTGAGCGGCTCATCTCAGTGGTTTCCTCAGAGCGCTGGCAGGCCAAATATAGCCTCCCAAGGCCGGCGCTTAAGCTGCAGGATCGCTCAACCAATCCTTTGAGTAGTGCAGAAAAACATTGGGCCACTGAAATAGATATCGTGAATAAAGATCTGCTTGGTTTAGTTTGGTGAGGAAGAAGAACAAGAGCTCTTTGTTCGCTGTCTTTGACATCTGCGGTGCTTCTCGTTCCATTTCCCGCTGGCCTGCCGGAGGTTAGGGTATCATCTATCATTTGACTGGATACGAGAGATAGTCGGAGTAATTCGACATGGAAATAAACACTTTGAGAGAGCTACTTGTAATTATTGATGGATATATAATAAGTGCTGTTCCACAACAAAATTCTCAAGATGGCGGACGATGGTTGTAGGATGAAGCAATTACTCTCGCGAGCGCGACTGGAAGAAGCAAACCCCCACGTGATCATATAGACTGCACGTACAATCAGGCAAAATCTTAGACATTTCGATACTAGAAAAATACAGAGTATATGAGGAATGACGAGGGTCATGGACTCGCGAATCTGCCTAGAGGCTTGGGACCAACCGGATATTCGGTTGGCATCCAGGTCTCTGTGACTTTTATAAGCCTAGGTATGGGATGCAGGCAAGTACATTGTAAAGTCCACTATATGCGTTGTCCCATATTCGAGATATGAGCCTCAACACTTGGATGATCAATCGATGATCAATCTCATCTGCTTAGAATGATGAAGTTTGATCGTGACAAGGAGGCTGTTCGATTGTTGTTCATGAAGCCAGCCTCTGCGTCCGCACCTATGGCCACAGGAATAGGAAGATGCTGTTATGGGACTCAAAAGTTACCTGTTGATCATTAATGCTCGTTCAGACGATAATGGTTGACTCTTACAGCCAGCTAAGCTCATCATAACAGTCAATCTTTGCCCATGACCCATTATGTGTACTCAAAAACAGGAGAGAAAGGCAGGATTCAGACGGACACTTCCGGAACATCTGCTAGTCACCATCGTCATGGCGATGAACAAGAACAAGAACACAGAGTTTCTCTCTGGTAGACTCTTTCATCTCTTCTACTCCTCAGAGACCCTCCTTCGGAAGAACATCAACTCTCAAAAGGAAAGGATTCATAGACCTTTTGTTGAGATATCAGAAATCGAAGAGCTGTGTGGAGACTGACAGAAATAGCATTATCCCACCAGCTTTCCTCTGAATTTACAGGCGCGGAAGAAACAAGCAGGTAACGGGTCATGGAATCGCGTCCTGAGGGAGCTCTGAGTCCCCCAAGGACCCCCGGAAATGCGATGGCAGCCAAGGACATAGAGGACTGGGTTCTCGAGGCAGCAGAGTGTTCGCCCATCATGATGCAGAGAGTCTCAGCGACCAACGTCCCTAGAAGCCCCTCTAAACTAGTGAATCTGAGCAGCCTGGAACTGAGTGACAAACACCAAGCAAACTACATCCTGATGGACCACTCCACCTGTCTTATTGGCACTAGCTTGGAGAGGGACAAAGACACAAACTCACCCAGCTCCTCAGTGAAGATGAGTAAAAGTCTTTCTCCAACTGAGAGCAGTGACGTTGGTAAGTGGGCCAGCATTCACTTTCTTTCCACCAAGTTCTCCAAAATGGCTTTCACCCACAGGTAAACGCGTCGCTAACCGATGCCTCAGAGGGGGAAGAAAGGCAGAATATCAGTCCAGAGCAGCTCATTACTCGCTTATCTGCAATCAACTTGATACGCGCAAGAACCATTACTCGCTTGTCTCCAACAGAGTCCTTGTCCTCGGGGGACACCTTCAGCCCATTCAGCGACCGTTTTCACTCTTCCAGCGCGCATTCTGCAGAGTCTAATCCCAGCTCAGTTGTCATCATGCAGCCAGTACCAACGTCGCGAAAGAGGAAGAGGAAGAACGCCAGGAACAGGAATAGGGGCGGGAACAACCAAGATTCTCTGGGCGAAGGCCACACTGGAAATAGAAACGAGACACACTTGCGCCAGACACCTCACGTCAGACCCAACGTGGACTCGTCGTACGATCAAACCCATGGCGAGAAGGACAATCAGCAGATGAGATCGCCAGCTCCACCTGACCTTGCTGTGTCTCAGGGCAATTCGATTCCTGCACACTGCGCTTCATCCCAAAGTGATTATCATCAAGGTGATGCAGAGCTACAGCCAGGCTCCAGGACTGATGAAAAGTCTTCGAATAACATGCTTGACTCGGAAGAAAAGACGGGTAGCAGTGTTACTTCACTGCATGACAAAGTGATCTCTGCTGCAGAAGGTTCTCCTGTGCTATCCGACTCTCAACAACCTGGTGTCAATCAAGACAGTCGCAGACCCGCAACTGCAGCAAAAGAAAGGCTGCCCCCCATAGAAGAAGCAGCAGTCGAAGCAACACAGGATTCCCTGAGCACTGATGCGTCTTCTTCCATAGCCGAAAGCGAAAGCCTGTCAATTAGAACGCAGATCCGAGACGCCTCTGCATCTGAGGCTGTAAGCGCGGTATTGATGACTGACGAAAATGCCCCAAGCAAGTCAGAGACAGAGAGGGATACTTCAAGCGCTACCTACCCTGAAATTGAAAACAGCTCTCAGCAGACCACCCATTTTGAAGACCTTGAATCACTTCATTTCAGCAACAGTCACTCGCATCCGTCGCCGCTGACAACCAGTGATGGTTCAACGCAGTCCACGCCCAAGGCTCATGGAAACGTCTCCAGTCAGAGACCAGAAGCTTTCTTTTGGCAACTCGATAGCCATGGATTTCCGTGCGCAAAACACGGCTGCGACAAGCGATGCAATCTCTGGGACGGAAGAACTGTGATCTGCCCTAAGTGTGGGCCATTTTCCGAAGTTCGTTATTGCTGCAAAGAGCATCTTTTCCAGGATATCAAATGGCACTGGATGTACTGCGGACAAATGACTTTCACACAGCCCTGTCGCGAGAACTCAGTTCCTCGGGACGTGCGAGATGGCCCACCATTGGTGCCCTGCCTTCATCCCTATGATACCCCAGAGCGTCATCGCCAGGCTGTGTACTTCAACGTCAATGCTCGTGAAGGAGATTATTTCATCTTCTCAGACTATGCAGATTGGGAACAAGCAGGATTTCCGGAAAACAATCTCGAGATACGTTGTTCCCATCGGGTCCTCCACAGAATCAAGTTCGAAGATCGGGAGAAGAAGGCTAGATTCCGACGCATCCTCGCAGCATGTCTGTTCAGTAAGTCATGATCATCAACCACGCATGCCGCTGAGGTCAACTGCTAATCACAAGCTTCATCACAGTGACTATCGAAGTCCACGGACTCGTCGATTACCTGTTCCGACTGATCAGGGACAATCTGCGGTCTCAAGAGAAATGGTCCCCCGAGGTTGAGAACATGGTCAAGTATCAGATCCACTCTGAATTCGCAATCAACATACTGCCAGATATCACAGGAGAAAGACATGCTTGCGAGACCGACTGGACCGGAAGAAATCGTCGCCACTGCCCAGATGCCGTCTGCCGCGGTGAATTTCGCCGTCTTCTTGGTTCGGTTGGAGGAAATGGTCATCGCCAGACTGTCGACCATTTAGAAGAATCTTTTTGGATCTTGCGGGCTGCGAGAACGACTCATCCTGGAGTAACCGACGTGCATGCGCGCATGAGAGGGGAGGGCTTCGAGGGCGTGGCGGAGGAAGATAGAAGGGTCTTTCAGCGCGGAGAAGGATGGGATGGTGCTGGAACTGGGCCTATGGAGATTGAAGGCATCAATGCTTGAAAGGTCTCTCTGACGACTACAGATCGATGTGGGTTGTTCATGGCGATTTTCATCTTGAAGATAGTCGCTCGAGGATTTGGTTATGGTGGCTTGTGAGAGTGCCTAGGAATCTGGATGTAAGAGTAGATAATCATCTCTGGTCAGCTCCTTCCGTTAATGGGCATAATGAATCCTCTGCCTTGCAAACTGTCTCCACCTGCCGAAAGTCTCAAAACGATCTGTAGAAATCAACATGCAATGACGTTGTCAATATGTTCTTCAAGTCTAGATTGACATGTACTGAAGCAATAATAACAAGTCGCTGAGATATCTGAGGTACAAAAGACAGAAAAAGAAGAGCCGCTAATTTAGATATTCAATTCCTCCATGACCTGCCAGAAAGATTCGTTGCAGCCCCTATGAACGTGAACGCAAACTCTGCACACAAAAAGCCCGGGGAATGTCCATCCGTCGTTCGCAGCATATTTCACCAAAGGACCGAATTCTGAGCGGTCTTACTTCGAAATGTATTTCTTCAAACCGCGGAGTCTCTCCTTCGCCGTCTCCAGGACATCATCATTTTTGCAGACTGCGAAGCGAAGGTAGTCTTCGGCAATGTGAGTATTCGCATCGGTGTAAAATTCAGTCGGGGGGATGGCTGCCACACCAACTTCGTGGATCAGGAACCAGCAAAGCTTGAAGTCACGAGGGCGGATGGCGACATGGGGAGGGAATGGGTAGTTTTCTGGGAGTTTGACGGAAGACATGTTTGCAAGGACGAAGTAACCGCCCTCAGGGTCAGAGTACTTGTAGTAGTCAGCAACGATCGCTCTCCTGGGCCATCGGCAATTGACTTACGGGAATGTTGAGCTCATCAAAGACTTCGCAGAAGCGTTCCATTTTCTGCTTCATTTCCGTCCTGCTCTGGTCCCAGAATCCTACCTTGTCCGCCTGCTCGAAAGCCACGGCTGCAGCTTCCTGGAGGGGAGATACACTGCTGTAGCAAATACGCGTGTGTGCAGCGGCGACATACTTGATAAGATGCTCCGGTCCGATGAGGTATCCAACACGCCAGCCAGTAGCGTAGAAGGCCTTTCCGGCGGAGCCAACCGTGAGAGTACGCTCCCAGAGCTCTGGGGACAAGGTAGCAATTCTAGTAAAAGGGACGTAGTAGAGACGATCATAGACCTCGTCGGAGAGGATAATGAGATTGTGCTTCACACACAGCTCACCAATGCGTTCAAGTTCGGCGCGCGAGAAGACTTTCCCGACGGGATTGTGTCTGATGTGGTTGTCAGCTTCATACAAGTGTAGTTGATACGGCTCACTTACGGAGAGTTCAATACCTACAGAGGGAGTTAGCTATTGTCTCAATAAGGGAAGAAGGCTACTTCTTACAATCATCTTGGTCTTCGAGTTGATTGTCTTCTCCAGCTCCTCAAAGTCTATCGCCCACTCAGACGCAGGCGAAGTCCTTGTGGCACCGTCCTTGGGAGGATGAAGGGGGACGTATCGAATTGTACCGCCAGGCATCTCGATGTTGCTGATGTACCTATACAGCGCGTTAGAGAGATCCGAGGCACAGGGTCAGGGTTCCCTTACTGGTCAAAGAAGGGCTCGAAGATGATGACCTCGTCTCCGGGTTCAATGAATCCCATGAAAGCACTCAACATTCCTGGTCCGTTGTCAGCCAGCGGATCCAAACGGAGGTCTTAGCGCGCCCAACCTTCATTTGCGCCGGTGGTGATGGAAACTTCTGTATCCGGGTTTATGGTTCGGCCGAAGGAGGAAGAGTATGCTTCGGCAATGGCCTTCTTAAGTCTCGGACGGCCCTGTATCGTATTATAAGCCGAAGTCCAATTGCCAGTTCGCTGAATCGTAGTGTTGTACCTTCGTGGGAGAATACTGGTTGCAGTCAACCCGGTCGAGAGCTTCCTTGGCCGCATCAAGCGCGAATTGAGGAGGGTTGTAGCCGCTATTGCATAGATTTGTATCAGTCTTTCGTCTGTTACTCCTCCGAACGAAGCGTCACCCACAAGAAGCCTTGACCCATGTTCACAATCGGCTGAACAGGCGAAGCGGCAGCGGCTTCGTTGACAATTGACCTGTTGCACCGTTAGGATATAGTTCCATTCTTGTCCAAAGTGCTGCGAAAGGTATATCCCACCAGACATCTTGCCTTTGGCCCGCGACTCTCTTCGCTGGGCGAAACGGATCAGGTCTCGCTGCTGTCGCCGACATCGCTCTAACTGTTCGGCTAGGAAGGCGGGGAGGTACAGCTTTGAATGCGGATACTGATGGCGAGGATGCGCTTCTGAAACTCTGGAGAACTGCTAACGAGGCAGGACTACGAGAAAAAAGGAACATATGGACAAATGGAAGATTATGATTGCAAAACTACAGATAAATATGAACAGTGGGTTCCTGGTCAATGGGCGGCAGTATCGGGCATTTCTGACTCCATCCACGGGCGGTGATTACGGATGTACAATTGCGTGCTCCGCCTTCAGTCAGCACTTTTTTTACTGTTCACTGCCTGTATTACCTACTGCCACTACCTCCATAGATATCAAATAGCATGTATACTCATATAGTACCTCTCTAAGGATATCAAATACTCAGTAGGGATATCGAATACTTAGTAGCGATATTGAATGCTAGTATACTAAGGATATCACATCACACGCACCATCATGGCGCCGCCTCGCCGCAAGCACTCGCAGTCATCTCCCCCACCTGATTCCACTCCTCCGCGCCGCAAGTCCGCTCGTCTGGCAGAGGCGCAGGCTGGAAGGCCCGCACGGCAGCCGTTCATTCCCTTGTCATTCATGTCTACAGACACTACTGAACCCGCAGACACGTGGCCAACACTTGCAACAACGGCTAAAAACCGGATAGCGCAATATAAGCCTGCCGAGCGAGCCCATGAAGCAAAACTTCCGCGTTCTTTAGACACATTCCTTCATTGGCTCCCGGAAGGGGGCCGTGTCACATGACGTGACTTAGTCAGGACGCATGTATCTAGGTAACTAGTTCCACAGGCTAGCTCTTACAAATGACACACACATACTCCGTACATACGCACCTTACAAATGGTAGCATTCTTGGCCGTTCCAGAGGCCTTAGGAACGGATCTTGTCTAAAGATCTGAGATACCATCTCGTCAAGAGAAAATCGATCGTAGAGATCGAGAGGTATTCGGGTACTGAGAAACCACCTACCCCTCTTCCAACTACCCTGGGAATCCGACCACGCATGGATTCGCACAGGGATCCTCTACCGACAGAATTACTCCTTGATACAATTAACTCAGCGGAGGAAATATCCCAACCTCTTGATCAGATGGCGAGAGATGCACTGGCCATCCTAGACCAGTGAATACCTCTGTTCATGAGAAGTCCAATACGTATGCTATTATTAGAAATCATTCACTACTCACACAACTTATCAGTGAATACCCTGCGTCAGTTCCACTAAATGTGTTTAGATCACCAATACATTCTTATCTCCCTCTTCCATTAACTATCCTTCCTTCATCAACTCTCCTTCTTCCATTATCACTCTCTGCCTTAGCAACCACTTCATGCCAATATAAGACAAAATATCACGCATCCTTCTCCTTACTACCGAACCACAGGCAACACAAGGGAAAATGGGCCGTCCTAAATAATCGGATGATAAAGCCAAGAAGCTATGTGAAGAAAAGGAACCCTTAGCTGCTAAAGCCAAGTCCTCAGTCTGGTTTTTCTTGCCAGTCCAATTTCAAGTCCAATTTGATCCTTCTAAGATCGAACTGCCCCCCCCCGGTAATTCCGAAATTCACCCCACCAACGATGCCGATGCTGCCAGCGGGAATTATCATTGCAATGCCACACAAGCCAGGACGCATGTATCTAGGTAGTTCCACAGGCTAGCTCTTATGAATGACACACACATACGTACGCACCTTACAGGCCGTGAATTAGTTGCCAGGGATATCATCAATGCAACGAATGATGATGATCTGCATGGTGTTTTTTCCAGTCTTCTAACTGAATTGGCCGCACCAAGTATGTTTATAGCAGTCCAATGGTATAAGCTTTAAGATACTGATATCTCAAACAGTGAAAGCTCGCTCTCGCGGGGGTTCGGTTACAGATTCACCCATCCTGAAAAGGCAGGAACATGTGGAGATGGTGGCCGGAACTCTGGATGAGCTGGGAAACTCGCGAAGAGAGCTTTCGAGACATGTGTCTACAGCGAGATGGCTTCTGTTGTGTGGTAACCGGTGATATGGACACAGATCACTGGGAGAAGCTTGGTTATCCAGATGACACTTCCCATGGGCCTGTTGAGGAGGCGCATATAATTCCCTTTGCGTACGCGTCTTGGAATAAGTCATCGGTATGAGTTCTCAAACCCCCTGACGAGGTACATTAGTGTACTGACTAAAACCAGGGTCCGCCAGTTGATGCCTCCAAAATGTGGGAGTTACTATACCGCTGCTTCCCTAATGTTGACAAGGTTGCCAAAATGAAAGTTGAAAACATCAATGACCTCTCAAATGGCATCACATTGTTGAGTAGCATTCATGAAGAATTTGGGAAGTTCACAATCGCCTTTAGGCCTACAGTTAGTACCAAGCAGATCGTCAATACTGTTGTTTCAAATTACTCACAGAGGCTGGTATTATTAGGACCGCCAGAATGTATATGAGCTGCAAATGTTCAGACGATGTCCGCCGTACCTGAGGGGGTCCCTCCCTCCAGACAAGATTGTGGAGTTTAAGCAAGCCCCAGGTGCAGAACATCTCAAACTGCCTTCTTCCGATCTCCTTGAATGCCATTGGAGGCTAGCCGAGATCCTAAATGCCTCGGGTATGGCGGAGATTATTGACGGTTATCGTCGCGAGTGGGAGGATATCAAGACGGGCGCTGGCAGCTCCCTGAGGGAGGATGGAAAAACGGATGTTGGGAAAATGCTAAGCGTCGCCTTTTGGCAGCATGTGGCAGGATGATAGGGAAAGAGAAGATGTACAAGCCAGACCCTGATAAGAATACCTACGATACTGGAAACCCTTCCCAGCGGAGAGTATGAATGATAGTAATAGTCTTTGAATTTAGCAAACTGCCGCTCAAAAGCTCTTCAATGCCGGATCCATCTTCTCCCAAACCATGTTAATGAGCTTCCCAAGCAGCAGCCCCCGTTTCCAATAACTTCATGAAGGGCACATCCGCCCTCATCTCGCGCCATGCCCAAGTCCTCAATTCCGCGGCAATCATACTGTCTATACCGAAATCCATCATTGGCCTGCTCAGTCCTACTAAGTATTCGATATCCATAGTATATAGTATTCGATATCCCTACTATATGGTATTTGATATCCATACTATATGGTATTCGATATCCCTATTGTGGTTGTTTGGTGTTCCCTTCCTATGGCGTGGGTATATGTAATCATTGTAAAATTTCAATGTGTCCTTTTTGTACAAATAGTCCGCCGTAATTCTTAAGGACATTGTGCCACAATGCTATGATTAGATGACCGTTCTCTGTAGGATTCATATAAAAGCTTTTACTGGCTGCTTATAATTACTGCTGTGCTTTATTTATCTTCAGAGTTACTCCTCTGCATCTTCAAAAATATAACATCATCAGGCACTACCTTTAGTACTAAGGCTGCAAATGTGCGTCATTTCAAGAACCTCGGATTACTAAACACAGTTAGGCGTAATTGTCCAGACGCGTTCACGCGTCCGAAAAGCTCAATGAATAGGTAGGGGGCCAGGCGGTGGTGATTCTCATTCATTCTTCATGGCATTTCCACGAAATTTGTCTGATTGATCACTAATTCAATAGTAATCATTGCTTATGGGCCAGTCATCATGGTCTCCTGTCCCATTTGCGGGAATCCCGTTTCGTCCCTGAAGATCAACGACCATATCGACTCCAATTGTGAGAACTTCATTGAGGAGCCGACATCAGGCACGGGGGAGCCAGTGTCTTCTCAGAAGACTCAAGTACCCAGCTTCTTTCAGCCGACCTCTGTCCGAAAGGCCGCCTCCCAAAGCATACCGCAAAGTGATTCCCCATCCGCACCCTCACCTGTACGACCCGTCAATGGGAAGCGAACGATTACACATGAGAAGGAGTCTGTCCTGAACGGGAACAAGCCGGATCGAGATGAAGCGCAAAGGGAGCCTCATCCGAAAAAGCCGAAGGTGAACGCGCTTCACAAAGCAGCACCGTTGGCTGAGCGCATGCGGCCCCGGACTCTCGATGAAGTCTGTGGCCAGGAGCTCGTCGGGCCAAATGGCGTACTCCGCGGACTAATTGAACAGGATCGGGTCCCGAGTATGATTCTCTGGGGCAATGCGGGGACGGGTAAAACAACCATTGCAAGGGTCATCGCGTCGATGGTAGGGAGCAGATTTGTGGAAATCAACAGTACCAGTACTGGGGTCGCGGAATGCAAAAAGATATTCGCAGAAGCCAGAAGCGAGCTCGGTCTGACTGGAAGGAAGACGATAGTGTTCTGCGATGAGATCCATCGCTTCTCCAAGTCACAGCAGGATGTGTTCTTAGGCCCTGTAGAAAGTGGGCAAATCACACTCATTGGCGCCACGACTGAGAATCCGTCTTTTAAAGTCCAGAATGCTCTCCTTTCCAGATGCAGAACCTTCACATTGTCAAAGCTGACCGATGAGGACGTTAAATCTATCCTTGACCGAGCCTTGAGAGCCGAGGGGCCCAACTATTCACCGTCCTCAATCGTGGATGATGAGTTGATTGGATACCTTGCTCGCTTTTCTGATGGCGACGCTCGAACATCCCTCAACCTTTTGGAGCTGGCTATGGACTTGTCAAAACGTCCCGGCATGACCAAAGAAGAATTGAAGCGATCGCTTACGAAGACTCTGGTGTACGACCGTGCAGGGGATCAACATTATGACACAATCTCGGCCTTCCACAAGTCGATCAGGGGCAGCGACCCGGATGCTGCTCTGTACTACCTCGCACGCATGCTGCAATCTGGCGAAGACCCTTTGTTCATTGCACGTCGCCTGGTTGTTGTGGCTTCAGAAGATATCGGCTTGGCAGACAACAGTATGCTGACACTTGCCATTTCTACCCACTCGGCTGTTGAAAAGATCGGACTTCCAGAGGCACGAATCAACCTCGCGCACGCTACAGTAGCCATGGCGCTCTCTAAAAAGAGTACTCGAGCGTATCGCGGCTTGAACAATGCTTTTGCGGCGCTGGAGGAGCCGGGGGTTGCGGGCTTGCCAGTACCGATCCATCTGAGGAACGCCCCCACTCGACTCATGAAGGAGTTGGGGTATGGGAAAGAGTACAAGTACAACCCGAACTACCTCGATGGTCAGGTAGTGCAAGATTACCTTCCAGAGAAACTACTTGGCCGGAAATTTCTTGAAGACCGGGATTTGGGCACTGCCATTGACCCTGATCTTATAGCCCAGGATGAACAGCATCTGGAGCCTTGAAGTGTGGAAGTGATTACATTGCTTCTTGTATAAAATCAAGAAGTGAATTTGGTCAAGGAGCAACGCATCTTCAAACGCATCTTCAAACGCAAGCTAGGGACAGCTAATGGGCGAGGGTTCGACTTCTCCTACTGGCAGTGTCATCGAAATCTCCCGAACGGATGTTGAGTCGGTATAAACATCGCCATCCTTCCTATGAGCAATTGATGATGCTATCGATAAGGTAATCAGCGACGGGACGGTCAGAAGACCTACAGTTTTCTGGTTGGGAAGTGCTTTCTGCCTTAGGCTGCAAGCTCAGCTGCATCGAGTCAAATCAAGCGCAGACACTGTCACAGATGAATTGGTCTTGTTTGGCTTTGATGGTCACTCAGAGAGCAATCGCAGTTCTGCTCATGCACTGAGCAATCGGCCCTGTCTGTCTTGCTTGCAGACAGCTGGGGGATAGTGCTTGCTTGGTGGGAGGTTTGTTGTCGTCATGTTAGTCTTGCCCTAACTTTGGTCTGTGGTGACTCCTGCCTGGGCTGTTCTATTCTCGTCATGCTCCAACAACAACAACATACCTCGACCTCTTCAGACAGTGTATCCTGAGCTCATAATTCACCATCTCACTCGCTTCTGATGTCCTTCGTTACTTATCAACCACTTTGAGATCGCCTCGAATCTACCTATACACTATCTTTTCGACTTCGAGCATCTTCACACCACACATAACGCAATAGAATTCAATACCATGTCATTTGCTCCAACCTCGGGGCTTCGCTTCGTTCCCTCGCAGTTTGAATCCTTTCAAACATCGTTTGACGACCTTTGCCCTCCACATATGAGCATAGAACTTCCAAATGATGGTGTAAGTCATCCTTGTTCCAGGTTTGAAGATGTTTCGTTTCTCCTTCTCGTCGTTCAGACGTCTGGATCTTTTCAGTCGGTATTTACTAACTCGCCTCAGCCCACTATGGAGAGTCTGGCGTCATCATCACACGAAGCTGCGATCCATCATCAAGCGACATACGATATATCATCATCTCATAGCTGCAATTTACAGCAAATACAGTCACTACAGCAAGTACATCATAACCGTGTACAGTATTTTCCACAGAATGCATCCTTTGCTGAAATGGACCCTCCGCTCGCGACCGGCCCTACCACCAACTTCCTGGTAAACAACCACCCTTTCACAAACGGCATGGCAAACTTCGCCAGTGCCCATCCAGTGAACTTCTCCCAAGACTTCAACTGTTTTTCTTCTCCCGGGCCCATCGTCGCTCCAGTACCAGTCTCTAGTGGTATACCGGTCCATACGCCAAATCCAGCATCGAGTATGAATCTCGAACATCGGCTATCCCCATGGCCATACAATACCCTTGAAACTCGCACAGAGTCACCAGTTGAGCATCATGCATATGACTTCGCATTCTCGGCCGTACGGAATCCTTCCGAATGTAAGTGACTATTGACCGTGTTGTTTATATCCATATTAACTGAAGTAGTCACATCCCAAGGCACCATGAACTTCGTGGGGGTTGATTGTGCCCTTCCAGCCGGGTCACGCCAGCACGATCAACCTCAGGGCAATCTTTCCGGGTTAACATTTGTGATGGAGGACGGAATAAGGCCGGCCCGTCATCGCGAATCGCGAGTACAGACCAAAGAGGAATCAGACGAGAGGAGAGAGAAAAACAAGAAGCTAAAGGAAATGGGAGGGGTTTGCCTCTGGTGTTACCGAATGAAGAAAACCTGCGAACCACAACTTCCGTGTCCTCGTTGCCAAGACAGCAAATCGAAGTGCATCAGAAGACCTGCAGATCTGTCCTTGCTTCCCTGCACGATTATAACATGTCAGGACGTGAACCAAGACAGCACTACGTGCCAAACAGCGAGACCCGAAGATATCTTTCTCTGTCTACAAAGAAGGATATCTCAATGTGCCTCTTCCCAGACCGTTGTCAGCTTCTGCCAAGATAACGGCGAAGCGATAGATGTCTGGGTCGTGAATGTGGCCGACCTTGACGCTACAAATATGAACACTTCCAGCGACCTGAGCCAACAGCTAATTCTTACGATCCTGAAGTGCATTCAATCTGAAGAAATGGATAAATTTGAGATGCAATTCCATGGCAGCTCTCTTGTGCAGACAGCTGTGACCATGCACAAGCTGCTTTCGGCGATTTTGTGCCTCTCTAAGACGCAGGTACACATGCGAGCGACTGATGTAGAACAGACAAGGATCGTGATGTTCTACATGCTGGCTCTCTGCCTACGAGGACTCTGCGAGTTCTCAGACGAGCTGGGTTCCGAAGCTTACAGCTTGATCAAACAGAAGATAGATTGCGACGGTGAGCCTGCTGGCATGAAGAACGACTGCAGCGGTTCAAACTGCGTCAATCCAGTTTGGGTCGCTGTCGGCCTTTACCACCGAGTCCTGGAAGCCCTTTCCCGCTTTGAGTTGCCACAGCCAATGGCTAGCATATTTGCTGGGGTGAAAACTCGCTCAGACATGGTTCTCTCCAACACCTCTTGTGTGAAGGAGAAGACCCCGCACATATTCGGGTCAAAGTTGGAGAAAGACAAAATGGAGGCCGAGAAGAAGGTGTTCTTTGAGAAACATATCCCGCCTGTCTCCTGTCGTCAATACTTCAACGTCGCGATCTGGTCACTCCCTTTTGATCAGAAACTGCCACCCACAGCCATTCACAGACAGGCCCATCTGTTCTCGGGTGTCTCATACGACGCTGAGTTTCTTCTTGACGAGAGTTTCTGGCATTCAACTCTTGCCGAACCTTTCGCCGAAAGCCAGCCTCAAGATTTATCGCAGATATTGGGCAGTGGGGACGACTGGGAGAATTTGGAAGCAGAATTATCACAGATTCATCCCTTCGATGAAGGCCTCATGGACTTTGAGGCATTTGGAAGTAACACGCTAGTGGGTGACTGGTTGACCCCTTCCCCAACCGATTCCTGGGGTGGAACGATGATAGTCAATTCGGCTCAATCTAGTATGATTGGAAGCTATTAGCTGCCATCGGCCCGAGTCTCACTCCACGAAGAATATTTTGGTGCCGGTATCCGACGACGCAGGACAACCCGGCGGCAAAGTGAACACCGATATTTGGAAACAAATTTATTTTGGCTTTGCTTGATGAATTTCTTGCAAGATTATCACTTGGCTATTGTATTGGTGATGTTGAGTACAATGCTTTTCCGACGAAGTTGGCTTCCTGAAACAAGGGCTTGGGTGGATCTTGCTACATGTGACATAATCTTGCTCACGATAGTTATCAAAGGACAAATAAGGAAAGTTTTGGAATCAATATACCATTGAATCGAAGTGATTGCAATTCTCTGTGCTTTTAGTAAATCAGAATTAGGATAAGTTTCTACTGAGGTGCAATGACCAGTTGCGAGCATTCTGTTGTATGATCGCCTAAGGAACAACAACAAGCTTTGTCCACCGCTTCGCGTCTGTCCGCTGTGCTGCTCCAGCGCGTTTCTCCGCAGACAAAGACGAAACAAATCCCCACACTTAGAACACCGACAATTGTCTGATTTCTATAGCCTCGGAATTTACTGTTGAATATTTTCCTACTCTCTCTTGTTTTTATCAGCACAGGACACTTTCTCTACCGACCCGTGTCCTGGCGACACGCCTTCAGGAACCAACAACCATCATGGCCTCATCAGCCCATCAACCGTTCGGATCGCGCTCATACGGAGGCGGCAAATTACCCGATCGATCCGTGAATGCAAATGCGATCCCATTCAGCGCGTCGTCCTTCTCTCGGCATCGCGGACTGGGAGCTACGGGGCCCGGCGAATTCGGCGCAGAAGGCGCGAAATCAACACAGCAAGCACCGCCTCCGCCTCCCGTGCATTCGCAGACACATGGTCCCTCGCAGGACTCGAATCCGTTGAATCGGTTGACGGAGGAGCAGAGGGAGGAGATCAATGAAGCTGTAAGGGGATCTGATACGTTCTGGCGTTTGCCTGGTTACAGCGACGGGGTTCCGGACGAACCAAAAGGCATAGGGGGGATGTTTTAATTGAGGATCCAGCTAATATGAGATGGTTTGTGGATAGTTCACCCTCTTCGATCTCGACCGAGACCGGCATCTGGACTACCATGAACTCCGCGTCGCCTTCCGCGCCCTCGGCTTCACTCTTTCTAAACAAGAACTCATTTCCCTCCTGACGACCTACGGCGTCCCCCGTCCCCAAGTACAACAGCAATCCGCGGCACAGACAGCATCGCAGCATCAGGCGCAGTCGAAGGCGACGCCGGCTACGAACCCTCAGCACCCTTCCAACCTCCTCATGCCGCTGTCGGCCTTTCAGGCGGTGACGGCCGTTAAGATTCTGGAGCGGGATCCGCGGGACGAGATCCTCCGGGCCTTTGAGCTGTTTGACGAAGGCGGGAAGGGGTATATTGATCTTGAGGATTTGCGGCGGGTGGCGAGGGAATTGGGTGAGACGGGGTTGGAGGAGGAGGAGCTACGGGCAATGATCGAGGAGTTTGATTTGGAAGGGGTGGGTGGTGTTACGAGGGATGCGTTCGTGAGTATTTGCTGGCAATGATGATTGTGCTGTTATTTGCTTGTACTTGCTTCTTCTCTCATGCTTGCTCTGGTTCTCCCTTTTTGAGTAATGAAACATTTTACTGTCATCGGTGCTCTCGTCACCAGATACAGCCCCGTTTTCAAGGAGATAATTGATGACCGTGTCACGTTCTTGAAAGGAGCTTCATGTCATCGACATACTCTTCCCTCGCTGCCAAGTGCAAAGGGGTCACTTGGTTAAACGAGCTTCAATGTTAGGATTGGCCCTTGCTTCCAAAAGCATTTGGACAAAAGCATTTGGACGCCGGCAAATGATTTTTCGGGTCAATCAGCCCGATCCACGGCGTAATGCAATACAGATTCACCCCGTTCACTGAGAGCATTGAAATCTGCTCCTAGCTCGATGAGCTTCCGTGCGATCCTCACATCTCCATCCCTCGCTGCCCGATGCAGCCGTATAGCCAATCGTTTAGTAGGGAGAAGGTGTGAGAAGATGGGAGGGCTAGTGTTTCGTATCGTCCTTCACATCACAATGGGACTGTATAAACTCACAAAGCTCACAATTACCACATCCTTGGAAACATAGCAATGCCAATTCTCTGGCTGAACGCCCAGCGTTGTCGGTGGCGTCGAGATCACTTCCCCTTTTAACAAGAAGAACAACCGATTCGAAGTCGTCACACTCAATTGCGTAATGAAGGGCCGTCGTGCCCTCGTTATCTCGAGCCATGATATCAGCTCCGTAATCCAGCAGTAGCTTCAGGGCCATTGTGTTCAGAAAAGCCGCGGCCTTGTGTAATGGCGTTTCTCCGTACGGGCATTTGGCCTCGGTCATTGCTCCATTCTCCAATAACAGTTTGGCGATTGCGGTTGATAAGTTGTGGTCTTCCGCTGCGACAGCAAGATGTAAAACAGAGAGTTGACGCTCGTCGACAGCGTTGACGTTTGCCCCAAGCTGAATCAACTTTTGAACAGCAGCTTCGTTCCCTTCTTTTACTGCCCAATGCAATGGTGTCCCGGCTACTGCCTTCGATCGCCCGTTAGATATTATGGCAGACATGTCAGCCCTAGCGACCTTGACCAGGAACTCGAGGAGGTCATCATCATCATTGCAGGCAGCGAAGTACAACGCACGATCCCTGGCTCCCTGGGGAATTTCCAATCCTCTTCTCTGGGCATGCATGAGAAGTTTTTGAAGGGTATCTTCCTTTCCACGGCCGGCTGCTAACTCGAATACCGACAGGTCGCTATGGAAGCTGGTCGAGCAGCGATATGTCAGGGCCCGGTCCTGTAGTATAGGATCTAAGAGGCTAGCAAGGTGGCATGAGGTCAGAATAAAAGCTGAAAGGTCCTTGACATTCAAGTGATCTGCTATGAGATGGATCAGCTCGGGAGGGAGGTCGATCAAGATCATCTTGTCTTGATAGAGTCGATTATTGACACGATATCGCGAGTATGGATGGATTGATACGAAAACTGGTGTATGGATACTAAATTAGCCTCTGATTGAAAGTCAACAACTCGTTTGGATCATTAATGAGAGGTTTGTTCTGTAGGCAACCCTCATTGCCAATAAGATACTTACACTAGACCTCTAGGCACACACGAAATGCTTGTAGTGAGGCTTGACTCTTGAGCCTATCATTTGACAGGCAATCTCAGCAAAGTCATACACGCTGACCTAGTTAGGATAGAAAGGACAGAAGGCGCGGAAGATATAGCAGAAGCGTGCTGGTGGAGGAGGAGGAGAAGGAGATTATTCACTGTAGAGACAACAAACACTCCATCACCCAGGTCATGTTATTCACTCAAAACAACAGTGGCAGTATCAGACACTCCCACTCCCTACCTGTCTGAATTCGTATCATTAAAACTTGAGCAAGATTCCCATCTTTCTGCCAACAACGCATCTTACCCTCAGCCAACATGCTTCTAAGCAACCTCCCCTCTGAATTGATCATAGTCATTTCCGACTTCCTCAAACCCAGAGACCTCAATGCTCTAATCCAGACCGCCAGGCGCTTTGCAAACCTGCTGAGCCTCCTTCTCCAAGACCGTGGCCTCACCGATCCCAAGCTGGAAATCCTCCTATGGGCCGCTGCGACAGGAAACGAGGAAAGAATCCGGAAGCTACTCGCACGCGCACAGCACAAACGAATCAAGATCCCTCCCAAAATCAAGGACAGCATGTTGATGACTGCCGTGAGGCATAAGCGGGTCGACCTTCTGGAGTATCTCGTTCGCACCGTTGGCGCCAACGTATCTGCCAGGGTACCTTATGAACTGCCAAACAGCCCTTATCCGCTAGCGGCAAGGACAGCGTTACATGAAGCCGTAGAACAAGGGAGCAAAGTCGCCACACGAAAGTTGATCGAGCTAGGGGCGGACGTGAATGCGACGGACTATAATGGCATATCTGTGCTGCATTATGCAGTCGGGATCCTTGTCTACGCCGCAGAGGAGGAATGGGATACGGACGAAGGTGATGTGAACTGGACGGATGTTCTACGATTGCTCTTGAAGCATGGAGCGCGGACTGAAGTGAGAGAGCCGGATCGGGGGCAGACTCCCTTGCTCTGGGCTAGTACTGATGGAAACACCGAGGTAATAAGCGTGCTTCTAGAGTACGGAGCAGTTATAAACGCAACTGATGAAGAGGGCTGCACGGCTTTACACCTTGCGGCAGCATCTGGAAACCACGAGGTCGTGGAGCTGCTTGTTGAGAAGGGGGCTGATATGTTTGCCATTTCTCACATGGCTGATACGCCCCTCGACCTCTCAGGATCCCCGTCGGTATGGGAAATACTGACAAAAGCGGGTGCCTTGACGGGTCCTCAGCTAGGACGCGAACTGGAGGCTCTTTTAGATGAACGGCGGCAGCAACGATGAGTTATAGCTTCTACTAGTGATCCGCCTCTGTATTTCGCGGCATCCCCGTTGGTATAGGGATCTCACCGAACGAGGTGCCATCCCAGGGAATCAGCTCAGAATTAAGCCGAAAGATGCCTTGTGTGAATGTCTAGCTATGACGGCTTGTACCTTCTCGAAGAAGATAACTGGTAGCAAGGCAATCTCCATTTGAAAGGATTTGATGAACATTGATAGTCGGACATATCCGACAGGAGCTTTCATCATTCACACCAATTGTATGCGTTTTGTGATATTGAGTTGCTGGTACAATCCGATGAATCAATCAAGTATTCGGTAGATATTCACAGTACTATCTTAAAAATCAGACGATGTTAACCTATGTCTTCTTCTGCTCTGATACACCTCCACACTTCGACCTCATCTCACCCTCTCAGACACAATGTGTTTGCTCAATCTTCCCCCAGAATTGACCCTTCTCATCTCTGAGCTCCTATGTCCCAGAGACCTCAACGCTCTGGCTCGAGCATCTCGCGACTTCGCATACTTTTTTGACCCACTCCTCCAAGACCGCGCTCTGATCGACCCCAAAGTCACCCAGTCCGTCCTTTTCTGGGCTGCCAAAAACGGGCGTGAAGAGACAATCCACAAGATCCACAAACATGCGCAGCATAGGCAGATTGGGATCAACTCAGTACTCAAGAATCGCATGTTGATGATTGCAGCTAGGTATGCGCAGGTTGATCTCCTGGGATATCTCGTCCACAGCCTCGGCGCAGACCTCTCCGCTATGGTCCCCATGTACACCACGGAGGATGTTCCTTATTCTCTAGGCAGTGCCATATACACCAAGACAACAACAGCGCTACATGCAGCTGCATTGTGCCAGGACGATGTTGTAGCTCGCAGGTTGATCGAACTAGGCGCAGACGTGAATGCTGTTGACGGAGATGGTGCATCTCCTTTGCACTATGCTGCCTGGAATCCCACAGCAACACCAGCAGTAGTCCGTTTGCTATTGGAGCACAGCAGCAAGACTGAGACAGAGGATAATTGGCACGGGAGACCGTTGCACAGGGCTGTGGGGTTTGGGAATATAGAAACCATAAAACTGCTATTGGCCTATGGTGCGGATGTCGCAGCGCGCGGTTTCTCTGACAAAATACCCTTGCACAATGCGGCAGAGCGTGGCCTTTACGAATCAGTCGTCTTGCTGGTCGAGGGAGGGAGCGATGTCAACGCCAGGACTGTTACTGGATGGAGGCCTCTTGATGTGGCTGAGAACAATTGTTTTGATCTCATAGTCAGCGATACAACGAGATATCGGGAGGAAGGAAGACGAGGCAGCAAACAGAGAAAAAGGAATCGTGAAAGTCTCCTCATGTAAATGAAATATCTGTAGTAGCAGGAGAATGCCAGTTACCCATTTCAGCAGTAGATGAAGCCACTGTGGGCCAAGGTAGCATATTTGCATGTGCATCCGCCCGCAACGCGGTTTATAATTCTCTCAGAATAGTCATCAGATATATGCAAGCAATATCAACCAAAGCTAACTATGAAAACAGATGTGTGAACAGCTCTGACATCTGATATGCCCACAAAAAGTCACCAGAGCCTTATGATTCCAAATGCCTTGACCCAGACCATGAATAAAGACTCTATACTAACTCCAAAACATATACAAACCGGATATAAATGATCGTGTTTATGCAAGTGCTGCGGGAATCAATCCTGCGCGGTTCGTGACGGCGAAAAGGGAAAAAAAAGCAGTAAAAGATCAAGCATATCGTGGTGCTGACTGGTACGGTCCTGGGTACGGGGGCGGGGGCTCAGCCCGGAGACCTTGGTACCCTCTATTGGGCCCAGCCCATTGTCCCATTTGAGGAGGAGGCGGTGGTGGCATAGGGCCCGGCCAAGGCCGCATCGGTGGCCGTTTGACGACCGTTCGTGACCGGCGACAGCGGTTGATCAGACACCAGAGGATGGAGAGGACAAGCAAGCCGCCAACACCGCATGCGACGCCAATGACGATATTCTTGTGTTCCTCGATCCAGGATCCAATGTTGGAGCCATCGCACCGCCCGTTGTGGCAATAGCCCCCGCTACCGCAGGGGGTGCCATCGAGGAAGTTCTGGTTTATACTGTAGCATGAACCCAGGGACGGTGATGTACAGATCAATTCGCATGACGAATCGAATTGCGGGCATGAGTACGTGTTGTTGTCGTGGATCAAACTTCCCATGACGGTCCGGCATTGATAGTCACGGCTGGTGCATTGGCCACTGGCGCAGGTCAGCCCAGAGGTACTGCCACATTTCTCTCCGTCCTTCTTGAACGAATCCGAAGGACAGGTGCTTGAATTGCCAGTGCAAGTCTCTTGCAGATCACATTCTCCGCGACTGGCTCGACAGACGGTCCCGGCGGAGGAGAATCGACATTGCGAGCAGCAGCTGTCGTTGGCATCATCGCACACGGCCCCATTCTTGAACTTGCAGGTTTTGGCGTCGCAGCAGGCGTTGTTGCCGCAGGACGACTCACCGCCGCAGTCACAGTCTTCGCCAGCTTCAACAATACCGTTGCCGCATTGGCTGCCGGTGTAAGTGACGACGTTGCGATTATCAGACAGACAGCTGGACTTGACACTGTTGCGACCTATCGCAGAGCAAATGTTTCCAATTGTGCAGGGTGAGAACGCGGTGATATCTGTTCCTGTAGTCGGGTTCATGATGTACTTTCCATTGGCATCACATGTCCCCGTGGTGTACGGACAGCATTGGGAAGACGCCTCCAAGTTCTGCGCGCAGGTCGCACTGTCGCAGTCATGAACTGCTCCGAAGGTGTGACCCGATTCATGTGCGAAGACCTGCCAACCACCACCCGAGACGCGGACGACAACGTTGGTCCCAGATACCGAGTTGCTGCCATCACTGGTAACTTCTGCATTGCAGAGTTGTCCAAGCCATGCCAAACCCACCTCGCTGCCGGTAGGGCAATTGCTCATGAGGGTCCAATAGGCATTGCCATCGCTCTGTTGCCCACGCCACTGGGAGAAAAGGTTGAGTCGCTGAGTGATATTGCTCTGATCACATGGCATGTTCCATTGTGTCGAAGCCGGTGCAGTCTCAGGACAAGTCTTGTCGGTTATGGTGAGATTCCGCAGACCAATGGAAATATTGAACGACTTTTCATAGACGTCCGAGGCACTGTTGACCACGTTAATGATCCATTGCTTGGCAGCGTCGTCGTTATCGAACGAAGCCCTGAATGAACAATCTGCTGCAATGCCGACCAAGGCCACTTGTTTGGTCTTGGGACACCCGGATGTGCTACCGATAGTTTGAGCCAGGTTAACACCACCGGCATTTCCCGACACACTGCCAATATCCGACTGCCGTTTGCTGAGGCCAAACAAGGAATTCAAAGACATGGAACCATAGCTGCTCATACCCATGTCCATGTCTCGAAACTCAGAGCGGAAGATTGGATGCTGCGGGTCACTGTTGAAGCCGAGCTTGTCGGCCTGGCAGGACGACGAGCTGATCAGAGAACGCTTCAACTCATTGCGGACCTGTCGAATCATATCGGAGTCACGGTAGACGACCATGAATTCGTCCTTTCTGTTGGGAATACTGGCATCTTCGACGCGCTTCTTCTGCAAGTAAGTCGACTTGAGTTCGACGTGATGGTTGTCATTGTTGACACTGAAAACACCTTCGAACAGGGGTTCGGATCCGTCCTGTTGGACATATATCCGTGCCCATCCTACCGGCCTCCACAGACCATTGTCTCTCCTCAAGAGAGATCGCCCTTTGAAAACCCTGTGTTCACGTCGTTGGATGGGCTCCTCACGATGAATGTTTCCTTCTGCGTCAAGGTACTGCACGTATGCATCATCGGCTAGGATATCATGGTTCGGTTCTAATTCCAATTTGATCATTTGGTGTTTATCTCGGAGTTCGAATGTGACATCGAAATCTGTAAGGTAGTCGACCTCGTGAGAGGGTGTGTTGATTACCGCATGTTCGAGTATCGAGACATGTTGAATGGCACTAGGTTCCTGCGATCGGGCTGTACGACATGGGATGATTAGCTATCTCTGATGAAGAGTTTGGAAGAAGTAATGCGACTAACCTCCAACCTGAACAGACAAGAGTGAAAGTGCACTCGCAACAAATGGCAGAGCACTTTTGAAAAACCTCATCTCCGTCGACAACTGGACGGAACCTCTAGACCCCAATTAAGCTGGCTGTGCAACGTAACCTCCTCCGTATATGTTTCAATCACTTAAGGGCCGCGAGTGATTACTGGCATCAGGCAACAATATATATAAATGAACGACCGAGGAAGTAAGATGAAACAAGGTCTTAGGTCTCAGTCCGATCAGTCGTGAACATCAACAGAGGAGATATCCACCCTGAAAGTATCTTCTGTTGTCTATGGAAAAGGAGAAAGCGATCAATTCCAGTATCGACAGAAGACGACTGATTGAAGCTCCCACTCCGAGACACTTAATTCACCCTTTGATAAAACAATGGCTGACAAGAAGCCTCCACTAGGATAAGACTAATAGGGATGACGGTCGCTGGGCGCCAGGCAGATCCGTTTTACTGGGGCGCAGCGGCTTGGCGGTACCGAAGTTGATGAAAGAAGGACCAGAGAAACGAATGACTGGATTATGCAGAGAGATGAATTGGGATCATATACACAATAGGAGGATGAGATGAGACGGTTGATGGTAAGGAGGAGAGGTTGCGGAGGGGTGCGACAAAGGTGGAGCGAAGATTCTTGATGCACTCGACTCTCAAACAAAGGGTCTTCAGGGTCTCTGGGAGAAACTGTTGAGAGGGTTTATGCCATTGCCATCGATAGTACTCCGTAATCATGGAGGATAATTATGAGGATTATTAATCGCTCTGAATACATTTCTGCAAGAATAATCAGGAATACATCGTTAGTCTCGTTGATGGGGAATCGAAGATGGCGAATGGCCGTTGTGCATTCCGTCGTCCAAGACAACCCTCCACAGTAACAAGTAACAAATGATCACTGCCAAGATCCTTCGGCGCCTGTGGCTGATGTCCTGTGGGCCATTTTTACTTCGAACATACGTATGCCTATCTTACCAGATTGAGTTAGAACGGAAGATTTGAGGAAGAACATATCTCTCCTAGATATCTAGTCCTCTGAGGGTTTCGTATGGTTTGCGCTGGACTGATCATAAAGCGGTGACAGATCACCACAATACAAAGCGAAATATAAAATAGATAGGCATCAAGGCTACAGTTGTGATCATAAAATGCTTCATTACACATTCGAAACTTAGAAATGTGGTGGCTTACTGATATAGCCACGGCCCTATCCTCGAACCCAAGGCTCTCAATCATCCGGCGCGGTGTGGTACGTCTCATGAGCAAGCATGGCAAAATGTGGTATCAATGTCCCGCAAATTGTGCAGGCGACACACGGCGTATCGCCATCTTCATCGCTCTCCTCCCAGGTATCGTTGGCTCTGACGGAATCAACACTCTTCGAATCCCCATCTCCCTGCGCGATACCACTGAAGGTAATCTTCTCCAGTTCTGGCGTAGAATCATCCTGCTGCATCGCTTCCTGTTTACGGAACATCTTCCCAATATCTCGACCGCTGCTGTTCTTCTGGTCACCAGCACTCTCTATCATATGAGTCACGGCAACATTCAGAACCCGGAGGTTCCAACCCGACCCAGGGTGAAGCTTGCGGAACATGGACATCGCCAAGTCCTGCACAAGCCGCTCTGCCAAAGCATCCACGTTCTCATCAAGGTTGAAGACGTAGGGTGGAAGAGGTGCGGAACGAGATATCCGGTTGAGACCATGGCGCTGGGACTGCTCGGAGCCTGGAGCTGGGCGCGAACACGTCGAGAGACGAAGAGTCCTTGGGTGAGCCACCCATCGGAGCTGTTGCTTTGAGTTAATAGCATCAGCTGCAGCGGGTTCGCCGGCTGGGGAATCGATATCGGGGTCCATCTCGGTCAGGTCAACCCGCATGCGCCGGATCAAGCTGACTGTCAGAGCAACCAGCTCTTTCCTGACTTCTTTGAAGCTGTCTAAGCGACCGTATGAGTCTTCGATGCTGATTTGCGTCGGTAGATCTCGAGCTTGTAGAACTTCAGTGTTATCCACCCCGTGTATCAGCCCCCATATCCGCGCGCCAATGCCCCTGGGGGATCCTGGTCCGCCTATAATTTTTTCTAGTAACAGAGGGCCCATGCCAGGGAAGAGGCGGACGTCTCGAACCGTGACGGTGTGGTCATCTGGGTGTGGTCCTGTATCGCTAGTTCGGTCAATTTCTGTTCTGGCCCCAGCTGCTGCCGTAGTGAGGTATGATTTGATTCTATGCGCGATTTTCGAGCCTATTCCGGGGATTTTCCGGATCTCATGGGCATCAAGGAAGTCAAGCACGTTGCTTTTCGCCCCATGCTCCGCCACAATATAAGGGGGCAGCAGAGTTGTCTGGCTGTTGGGCTTATGTGTATTTCCAACTAGCTTTGAGAGAAGCTTGGATGTGGAAATGCCGACAGTGGCAGTGTATCCCTTCTGGTACTCGAGCTGGTTTCGAAGATAAGCTGCCAAATGCGATGCAACCAACAGTCTAATGCGCAGCCACTCCGAGCCAGGGTCTGTTGCACTATCGGGAACAGCTGGATAGGTATGTCCTTGAAAGCCTGTCGCATCGTACGTGAAGCCCACTGTGGGATCTCGACGGTCAAGGTGAAAGAACGAGTTTTCGAGGTCATTACGATTCAGCATCTCGACATTGTAGGCAATCATGCCGGACACATCGAGGAACACCTATGCTTGATCATTAGTATCGGGCCAATCCTGAAAGTACAAGTAGGGTGTACACTCACCTCATCAAAGCCCAATTTCTCAACTCGCTTTCCCCAGACAAAGTCCCGAAGAAAGAGATAGAGCTCCTTGGAAGCATTGCGAAATCTGGTGAGATCTTCGCCCAGAACAATGACAACGTCCGGACAGATATGCTTCGCTTCTTTGATCAGCTGCAGTTTGCGTAGGCCCCGCCGTCGAGCTTCGTAATTACAAGTCACCACGATCTGCTTTTGTTGAACCGCCAGAGGCAGGGACTTGAGCACTGGCTGTTCCGCCTCAAACACCGAGGCATAGAAGCAATCATAATCCTGTATTGTTTCAGGGAGTAATTAGTGGCCATTCATTCTCCATGCTTTCTGCCCATAGTTACGGCGGGTACTGACAAAATGAATGATGATTCGACCGTCATCCCTACGAGGCGCAGCCATCGAGATTGGTCAAAATATGAAGTCGTCAGGGTCCGTCGTCTTTCGGTACGTGACTGTGCCCCATCCACCTGATGCTGAGGTAATGGTATTGTGCGGCATTGGTCCTGTTGCTGGACTATCTAACGGTGGGCATTGTCGAGGCAGCAAAGAAAAGTCGGTGATAAGGATCCTCAATAATCAGTTAGATATTAAGCAAGCGCATCAACTGATTCTGTGTTGATGGAGCCAGTCAACGGCGAGTACCCATGTTGCCTGACTCGAGAACGGAGCGGTTGAGCTGGCAAAGATGAAGTTATTCCAACAACAAATTCCGCTGAAGAAGATGATTGGACAGAAGTGGAGGCTGGGATTGTGGCACGGGAAACTAAGTGGCTGGATAGTGGAGTATCTCCTCAATGTCCACTCTCATAGTACACTACTCAATGTTGCCTTGCAATCATCTTGAATGGACTACTCTATGGAGTATGTAAGAAAATCGAGGGCTCGAAGTTGGAAAGCCTCTTGCCAGCAATTCAGAGACACTCAAGTCCTTCCAAATCCTTTACAGTCCTCTGTATGCATAACTACACTGAAGCACTGTATGAATCAGTGCATTCTCCCTATGTCCGATTCAGTCCGGTGTCTGGATTGGCAGGAGGCAACAATATCACTATTCCGGCTATCCGCTACAAGGCCGTTCGGATGTACTCTGAGACAGCATTGAGGCAAAAGTTCGCTGCCTTCTTGGAAGAGTCGAATAGCATTCGTAAGAGACAAGTAGTAGAAACACGAAGCCTTCATGCTGGACGAATCCCATGACTGTGATATCTCTGTAGGTGGATAGCTTGAAACATTGCTGTTCACTGTTCAGACTCTGTTCAGACAGCGTAAAGCAGGAACTGTTTCCGGATAGTCAAAAAGGTGTCACTTATTTGATAGAGCAACCTGGATGCATCAAATGTCACGTTACTTGGAGTTCAATTCTTACTGATCTGTTACTAGTGTGTATTATACTACGTACTAGAAGTTCCCCACTGCCTCGTGTCTTGATCTTTTTATAGTACAGAGTACCTGGACTTGCACAGAAAACATTATGGTACTGGAGGTACTATCCACAAGCTCTTATGTCTCTAAACGGACTTTAGGTAGCAACATTCTATGGACTATGTGACATTTGATCAGATTGCATCGGTCGGTCAGTTTGTTTAGTTTTGATATGACTCTGACAGAAGTTTGAGTCTAGTGAATCAGTTGAATTTGACGATCGGATCGACAGTAGACAGACCGACATACGTATGAGCACGACAGAAATAGACCGACTGCGATGGCGTCCAATAGTCCCTCCACACTCTGAATAACTCGACTGCTATTATGGATGTGATGGATGCTTTTTCTTCTTTTCAGGTCAGATAAAACTCTTCTGGAGTATTATTTCCACTCAGTATCTCTCTTCTTCTTCTTCATATCCATACCTTTTTATTCCTAAGGATATTGACTGCTCGAAATCATCGCTGAATTCGCCTCCGCAGTTGCATTTCTAAAATAGGAAACCCTCCAAGCGCCCACTTGCTTCTCCTCTACTCCTCCTACTCTTCCTCGTTATATTTTCTATTCTTGTTTTTCACAATTCTTTCCTTCTCCTAGTAGATATCTCCATAGTTCCCACTTAGCTCCAACATCTCCATCGATTATCCGACTGTTGTCTTATTGTTGGAATCGGTCTGGCCAACTGTGGGCTGGTACTCTCCATCGCCTCGTCGTGCGGGGCGCAGTCCGTCCTTTCGCTCTGTCTGTCTCCTCTTCTCTACCTCTACTTCATTCTTATTTCCTCGGGCTCTCCTCTCGATCACCTTGCGCCATTTCCTAGATCTCCCTCTCCAAGTCTCTTCGCCATGCTTGCAGCCCCCATGCCCCCGGTACCGTCGCATCGTCCCCCTCCTTCCGATGCTGACCGAACAAGCTCCCACACAATCTCACAGTCCTCGTGTCAAAAAGGGATCGCTTCTACAAATATGTCGTGCGGTGTATCATCAAATGCTGCAGGCGACCGGCAGGCGACCATGCCGCAGAGACCGAAACTCACTCTTCAGACCAAATCACTACCAATGACATTCGGCAGTTCAACAACAGGGCTGTCTCTCTCGTTAGCAGCCGGTGCCACAGCGTCTCCCACTGTGCGCAACACTTTTAGAAACGCCTATGATGTCTCCTGTCCGCCTTCTGCTACCGTGTCACCCTCCAAATCTTCCATGTCAAGATTCGGCAAACCCTCGTCACCATATCCCACTGACGCTAATGGGAATCCATATCAACAACCTCTTGGGGTAAAGAGTATTCTCCGAAACTCGCCGTTAGAACCTACTGCTAGACGGCGATCGATATCCGTGGCCCCGAACGGGCCTAATGGGGGTTCGAGCTCGCGCAGGGTGTTCTTCCCCGCCGAGAAACGGGTGAGCTATCGGTATCCACTCGAGGAGGAGATCAAGACCGTGCACTACACCGCGCGCCATTCCGACCTCATTGGCCAGGTGGAACATTACCCTTCTGCAGAGGCTGGCTCCGGCGAGGACTGGGATGCCAATTCTAGCCTTCCGTCATCCGACATAAGCACCTCCGACGAGGACGAATATCACAACGCCTCTCAGTCTCAACGCGAAAGGAAGAAGAGGAAAACTTTAGCGGCGGAAAGACAAGTTCGCGCAGTGGCACTTTTGGATGGGCTAGAGACAGATCCTTATGGTTCCTCCACTCCCCAGACACCGCGCGTCAAGCGCCGTTGTGAATGGAGATGGACCTTGGGACCACTGGAAAAGCGGAACGAGCTTATCCAGTTACCTCAAACACCCGAGGATGCAGCTTCTCAGCTTCTTGTGGCACATACCACACCTGCATCGGATGTGAGCACTCACAATGACAAGGACACCGAGAACTTGACCACGAGCGACTCGGAGGATGGTCAGTCTTCCAGTACCTCCCAACGGCTCTCCAGCCCAACTTCATCTGTCGCATCACCCCAGGACAAAGTCTATGGCTTGAACACAAATCAAACCTTTGAGTCTGGGCCACCAGATACCACTCTCTGAACTATACCACCTCGCATTGATGATTGATCTGGTTACGATTTACGTCATATAGACACGCATACTCCTCATATTCAGCCCATTAAGCGTCTTGCATTCGTATCATTTTTCTGGAGTTCTTCGCTCTTCAGGCATTTCATGTATCACCTCATACATTCTTGGCTCGGTTGTCTGAGACGACCAGGACGTTGGGTCGATGGCTTGATAACCACCTCCACTTCATGATGCATTTCTATTTTAACGCACAGTATATACATGTTTACTGTCGGTTTCTAATGTCGCTGTGGTTGCTGGCAATCTATCTATTCTCTCCACATCTCTCAACTGTCTCTTTCCAATGTGTCATGAACCCCTCCCTCTTCCCGAGTCCGAAGACCGACGATCACCATAAAACTTAATATAGTAACAAGTAAACTAACAGGTAACAAGTGGCAAATCCATTGAGAGTCTGAAACCCCACAATGAAAATGCAGTCCTGCGCCACTTCGTCGAGGTGTTTGTGGGCAATCACATCAAACAACTACTGGAGTCTGTCCCAGAACGGCCTAGGAGGCAATACCCTGTAATAAGTTGATTAAGGCTGGTATTGGCAGAGGCTATTCGGCCGATCTGATTGCTTGCCGCTGTGATAAGCCTGCAGATACCCTTGCTTGATGTGTTTATCTTGACAGTGCATAAACCCTTACAGACTAGAGAAGTTATCACATGGAATGGGTGGTAGACTAATTACTTTGCATAATTATGGACAACCAGGACTCAGTAGATACATCACGTACCGCGTAGAGACATTTTCGTTGCGAGGATGATAGAGTGACACTGTGCGATCAAAAGAAAAAGATAGAAAAGAAGGATGAAACAGACTACTGCCCCGTCTCGGTCTCAATGTCCGGCTCTCGTCCGCTCAGATTGCCTGTAAACTTGTGCTTCACTTTGCGCAGTGCATACTTGGCTTCGTCCCGCGCGAACACCGCATTGCGCGCCGGCTTCCACTGCATCAGGCCGCGCTGCTGGCGCTGTTCGCTGCGCTTGGCTGCCCGCTTTGACGGGGTGATGCCGGCTTCGCTGTGCGTCCCCGATGTTGTGTCCGTGATGGTTTCAGGTTGCTGCTGCTGCTGCTGCTGCTGCTGCTGCTGCTGCTGCTCCTCTGGTCGGTCGTCCTCGTCCGATGACGACTCCGATGAGTCCCCCTCCTCGCTTTCGCTGGGGTGTGCGGCCCCGGTGGGCTCGACTTCCTTGGGCGGTGGGTTGACTGGGTCATGCGGGGGCTGGTCGCGACCGGGCTCCGCGATCTTGCGGCCCTTGGAGTCGAGATAGGCGGCCGGGTCGTCGCCAAACGCACCGCTCCAGTCGGTTCCCTGCTTGTCGATCCAGCGCCTGCGCTCTCTGGGGTGACTTTGTTTCAAAACGTCGCGGCCGGCTCTTAGGGATTGCTCGTGGAGTTTCTCGACGTCCTCGGGGATCTCGGCGGTGATTCTGTGAGGCCGCACGCCTTCGGCCATGCAGGCTTCCCACGTTTCAAAGGTCTCGCGTGAATTGCTGTCTACCACGTATTGCTCGTGGGAGTCATCGATACCGGGGGTGAAGACACCCCGAAGCTGCAGACGACCGATTTGTTGGAGGTCTTCTAAGCCAGGTGTTTCCTTCGCTTTCCAGTTTTCCTCGGTGATGTAGTTCTGGGTGAGCCGGCTTCCGTTCTTCGTCGACCAGATTGGTAGATCAATCTCGGTCTCTTCGTTATCCACGAGGTGTTGGAGCCAGAGAATTGCGTAACCCGCGGCTCCATGTTTGCCCTGCGTGTGCAGCTCGAATACGACGGGGGACCGATAGCGATGCTTCACCGGAAGTCGGATGCTCCGGCGGAAGTCTTCGTTAGTCAGGTCGTAGTAAGAGTTGTTCCCCTCGATATGACAGTAGCCACGCGGGATCTTTCCACTGCTTCCACCGGTGCGCAGTTTAATCTTGGCCCGATGGTTGAAACCTTGCAGCGTAAGCTTGTCCGACACAAATTGGAACGTGCCCACATCCCATCCGAGCATGTTCGGGGGCAGCTTCGTTTCGACGTGCCGGAAGAGCAGCGAGATACGAATCCGTCCGAAGCCAACACCGCCATCGAGAGGGTACCATCTGGTGACTTGGGATGTCTTCTGGAAGAGGTCGGCGAGCTTCAGTTGCACCACACCCAGGATTGGGTCGTGCTCCCGATATCGTTGGTCCCTGACGGTCACGGTGACCATTGCTGAGCGCCAGTCGCGGACGAATCGCTCAGTACCAGCGTTGAATATGGGCTTGGAGCTAAGTGCTTTGGCTCGAGTCCGGTATACCTATGCGAGACGTCAGCTATTATCCTTCGGTAGCAGCGCCGGGGAATCGCTCACCAGCTCATCATTGAGCGTAATCTTGCAATAGCTGGTGGGCAAGTCTTTGCCTTCCTCCTCAGTGCTTTCGCCGTAATTCTTTGCCGGCTCGTACTCCCTTCCCTTTCGATTACCGTTACTACCTTTGATATTGGCAAGTTGCAGGTGCACGATTTGATGAATCACGATGCTCAGGACACCGCTAGGCCACAATGGATCGGGTGGTGTGTGCGTGACCGCATCTTCTTCTTCGGTAATGACAGTGCCCTTCTCGTCCTGGAACTCGGGGATGTTTTGGAGATTCTCCGGAAGGTCTTTCCTCTTGCCATCCGTTCTCAGTTCCGGCCTTAACTTCGGCTTTCCGAAGAACCCAACTTCCCAATGCAGCTCACCGGGCATCTCGCTACCCTCGTTCAGACCCTGGAGCTTCGAGACTTGGGGATACATGCGGCCCGGGTGCGACAGCATCTCCCGGATGGGCAGTTCCACTTTGCCGACAATGTCATCGGCCGTGTTACGATCCGAGTCCCACAGTTCAACGCTGAGGTTCTCATCCACCTTGATCAGTTCCGGGGTGACAAGTAAAGCTGCAGTCTCTTCCCAGATCGGATTCAGATCATCCGTAATCACTCGGGTGCAGTACATAGGTTTGCCGTATTTGGAGAAGGAAAGGTTGATATAAGGATCACTTCCGCCACCATGGCTGCCACGCTTATCCTGCTTGCTCAGTCCAATGGCACGGTGGATCCGAACCCACATCACACCGATAGCCTGGGTTTCCTTGATGATATCGTCACCCTTGAGGATCATGCCCAGATCCATGGTCATTGATTTGGGTGCTGCGAAAAGGCTGCAGGCAGTGCCTATGGCATAGTTGACAAACTTGGAGATCAGCGGTAGATTGAGAACATTGACACCACGTCTCACCATCGGCATGCACCCAGCTCTGATATGCGGAATGCCAACAAGACTGTAGGTTACCTCCTTCATAAAAGGGGCTTCTGGCATCATCTGAAGTCTCAAACGTACAGTTCCAACCATCTCAATCAATTCCACGAACACCGGGAAAGGCACTCCGAATAGACCCTGAATTCCCAGGAAGAACATAATCTGCATATGCATGTTACGTGCTTTGGAGGAAGCACTTTGGCCACTCGGCTTTGCGTGGTATGCAAAAGAAGCTTCGAGATTGTAGTAGCTGCCACCCTCTTCCGCAGCTGCTGCCTCCTGAGGATCCTTATTTTTCTTGTTCTCTTCGCGGATGTTATCTTTCAGTTGCTGCACGTGCTCGTCTGGAAGAGCCCGCATGCTCAGAATACGTATAGGGTTGTTTCCTTGGTCGATTTCAGCGATGCGAACGTTCTCCACGACACCTGGCGCAGAAGCTTGCATGATGTCCTCGATAGTATCGGCAATGGGCGCCAACATATCGGGGTTCATCAGGCCCCAGACGACGCCAAGGAAAGTATTCATCCATTCGACAGATTCCGGTAACAAGTTGGCCGTAGCCTGGTTGCCTTGATTTAGTAAAGGATCCTTAAACACATCCAGAGCGGAGAACCTTACTGTTTGCCCTCGTAGCTGCTCACTGCTCCATTCCATTTCACGACCACTCCGGATAACCTCTTTCATCCACAACCAGATCCCACTTGTAGTGCAACAGGCCAAGGGTATGAGAGCCCATAGCGAGCCACCAAAAAGACGACCAAGGAAGAGTACACCAAGAAAAAGACCCAAACAGACTCCGGTCGCGCGCTTTTCCAACTGATCAAACATAGGCTTGTAGGAAATCGTCGGTGTGGGGTGAAAAAGAACATTTGTCTTCTCACCGTGGATCGGCACGTCGGACGTGGTGCCTTCAGCGATGGGATCAGGTGGTGCGGTCACATCCTGATTCTCTTTGTATTCGGACAGGTTCTGACATGCATCGGTTTTGATTTCCTGCATTGCGCACGTCAGAAACGATACGGCATACATATCCTTCAAGGGCTTACTGTTGGCTTTCCCAGGTTGGCATTGGGGACAACCAGCTAGAAGTAGCTTAGCAGAAGTTCCACTTTGCCTCGCATCAAGCAGACCGGGTTACCTTGGAATCTTTCACGGCGTCCATTGAGTTTTCGTCCTGGTCCTCTACCTCCATTTCTTTGCCGGTAACTGGGTCTGTCACTCTGCGAGTCTTGCCCTTGGCCTTCTTGCGCGGTTGATGGGGATTAGCGCCACCTTCGGCCTGCCGTTCTCTGGCAGTCTGTGCCTCCTCATATTCCTTCTGTTCCTTTTTTTCACGGTCGAGGCGCTCCATGAACTTAGAGATGGTTGGAACGGGGTTGGCCCCGCTCCAATGTTCTCCAACGCGATGTTGCTGGGGGGAAGTAGTCCCATTGTTATTAGGATGTGGTGCCATTTCGAATGCCAGTCAAGTCTTGATCGAACTGAAGGTGTGGAGAAAGACCTTTATGAGCTATAGTATGAATTCACAAAGGAAGGTCTCATCCTATTCAAAGTGAGTTTGAGGTGTCTGGATAAGGGATATACAAAGAAGATTGAAGTTGACCCAAAAGAGAGGCGCGTGAGATTGTCGATGGCAGTTTCTGCCAGCGATAGCATTGACATCGGACAAGAAGACAAGAAAACGACTGGACAAGGCATCTCGAAGGGTGAAATAGTCCTGTAGAGAGTTGGTGCAGCGAAAGCTGGCCCTACGCTCCTAGAACTACGTCATTGTGGAGGGAGGAACCAAAACAGCTGCCAATTGAGTCTGATCCGTGGAGAAAGCAAGAGGTCGTTGCCCTATGATCTACGAAGCTCCCTGACATCTCACCCTAGATTGCCCAGAGCTCCAGCTGGCGAGTCAGCGTGTAGATTGACTGTAGAGTGATGCGGGTGAACCTGCTGTAGACTTGGAATCTGGATGCTTCGTCATAGCAATGAACTTGGACGTCTTGGCGTTTGGCATCATTTCGACCAGCATGAATCGCTGTAACTTGGTCATCTTGGGATAAATTGTTCAAGCAGAGTTACAAGCATCTTCTGCATTGCCGTTGGATTCTGTTGGATTCAGCTTGCGAGTTGAATTGCTTCTCATCTGGAGTGAGGATATAGTACCTTCGTAGGTGATGCGGTGATGTCACCACCTCAACAGTGATGCCTGTGTATGATACACATTGAGAACATGTACTTTGTGCCTTAGGATGATATGAGCTTTTGATCTGTCCTTAAATCTCTAAAACTACTTGAACCGAAATCCCCCTTCCGTGTGCCAGTTTGCTAATCTGTGACACTTCAATATATATCTTCTAGACCCCTAGCTAGGAGTATACAAACCCAATAATCGCTCAGATTTCAACCTAAACATGCAATATATCCTTCTACCATTATGATGCTCTATACATAAGCTGAAATTTACAATTCATTTACCTATCTTGTCAATTTCTATTATTTGGAGTCTAATGACTTGAGCATGTTCATGGCCTGTGGCTGAAGATATGAATACGGCAAGGCAATTGAGAAATTGAGAAATTGCAAACTTACAAAGCAAAAAAGAAACAGAATATCCCATTATATAACAGTACCATCTTAGAGAGCTACACTCTCAAGTAGTGTCGATTGCAGAGGTTACGAGCATTAAAGTACAGTACAATTTCGCACAGGAGTAACTGCGCCACAGCGGCGGATAATTATTGACAACCTTGTGTCAATCCACACTGGCACATAAAGGTGGCCAGCTTTTCCTAACCTGACCACCCATCAAGCTTTCGCCTTCTTGAAGCTGCAATTGGGAAATCAGAGCTGCTTATTCTGTGAATGCAAATACTTCATTTGTTGTGGTAGATCGGCTTGAAAAACATCCGCCACACCTCAGTTATCGGCACATCTTCATCAGCCATCGCCGAACTCACAAATACACGACCCGAATATGTCCTCTACAGAAGAGTCGCCGGCTCAACGAGCAGCCAGGCTGCGCCGTGAGCGCCGAGAGGCCAAAATCCGAGAAGGTGGTGCAGCACGCTTGGACAAGATTACAAGCTTGAGCGGACGGACACCGCAAAGTGGTACGAATAATTATGCCTTGCTTTCTCGTATATCTTCATTACTGATTCATCTTGCAACTGCCAGCTCGCGAAGAATCGCTCTCCGCCCCGTCACTCTCACCTTCACCCTCGCCCCGACCTCCTGCACCTGTCTCCGTCCCCGAACCAGGGGCCCCACGTCAAACACAACCAGCACCGTTCCGACCAACTGCCAGCGTTGAGGACCAACCCCCAGAAGACCTCCAAGCCCAACAGGAGTATATCCGGGCCCTCCTCCGCCAGAATGCACCGCCCGTAACCCAGCAAGGCCCCGATGAAGACCCCACGATGCAACTGCTCAACTCCCTGATGGCGGGTGGAATGCCAGGGCTAGACCAGGGCACAGGCGACGCCGGCGCCGGCGCCGGACCCGGAGTCTCGCAGGCAGAACTAGCATCCGCCCTTGGCCTCCCGCCATTCGTCTCGAGCATGCTCGGCGCAGCGACACGAACCAAGACGGACGAGGAGAAGCGGGAGATCCGGATGTGGAAAGTACTTCATGTACTCTTCTCAGTTGTCATTGGGGTTTACTTTCTCGTGATCATCAGCGCGTCTGTCGCGACCTACGGAAGCCAGCCGCCGCCTCCTGCGACGGCCCGGAACCCATTCGTTCTGTTCATGACGGGGGAGATGGTGCTGAGCGGGGCGAGGATAATGCTCAGGAGCACGGGCGGGGCGCTGGCTGGGCCTGCGATGTGGATTCAGTTGCTCAGGGATGTTATCCGGGACGGCAGTATTGTGCTATTCTTGCTTGGGATGAGCGCTTGGTGGCATCGAGATTGGCTGGCTTCTTAGATAGCCATGGCCTGGTTGAGTCGGGGGGGTTCAGTCCTCGTTGACTAGTGGGTTTGAATTCTTCCCCAGCTTACGAATGCACCGAAACAGGCTCAAGCGTTTCTCTTGTGTATGATGATTTAATTACGAATTGTATTGATATTGGGGCAGTCTATTAAGCATAAACAAGTCCTATCCATATCCATGACCCACTGGATAAGAGTGCTTCGCAGTCAATGCCCTGTGATAGCCGGCGACACTGGTACTTGCCTAGGGAGCGGTGGGCTGCCGTTGTGACTGAGGCAATAATTCCACCTCAACTTATTTTGAAGTGACCAGCTAACGTAATCGGTAAGCGAGTGGCCATTGTAACCGAGCGGCCACCCTACCATACAACTTTGGCCGCAGTCGAAAAGCAGAGGCTATTTTCAACTTCTAAAAACAAATATTATTTGCAAAACTAATTCCTAATACGACTAGGACATTGCAATCGCCTATGTCCTATAATATGACAGTCACTGCAGCGTGGGGGCGCCCGCTTAGGACGCTGCTCTGCATCTGCTGCCTGCTCTGTAGAGACAGTTGGTATAGCTTCAGCAGCCTGATTCCTGCTTTGAATGAACTCCTGGCCTTCCTGGATAGAAAATCCCGCTGCAGTTTCTATCTGTCGCCTAGACCGCTTCTTCTTTTAAAGCTTCTTTTCATGCGCAGCCCGTAGATCTTGGTTTTCTTTTGCAAGAAGAATAGCACTATTCATTGCCATTTCACACCCCTTTATAAGCTGGTCTAACGCGGCCTTAGTAGGGGTAGAAGGGCTGCATGTACGCTCCCTAAGTAGCTTCTTAAGCGTAGTTTCCTGCTTTTTTAACTGCTTCAGATTGTGCGGTGTTTTAGGGACGGAATTGGTTGATCGACTCCCAGGTGGTGTAGGGGTTTTGAGCTGGATATTGAGCTGACTGAGCACCCGATTTGGATTAAATAGTATCAATCCAGTTGCTGAGAAGCCACTTTTGATATTATCTGCAGAAAAGATTGCTGTACGCGCCTGTGGATAGGCTTCAAGGAAGTCAAATTTGTCGATATGGTTGAAACCAAGCCGCATCTTATCCTCCACTAAGCGGCCGTACGCACGCTTTAGAGGAGAAAAACAACCAACATCCAGAGGCTGTAGGAGATGTGATGAATGTGCAGGCATGCAGATTGGTATAATATCATTTTCACTGCAAACTAGATCAAACTGAGGTGTTAAATGACTCCCGTGGCCATCAAGGATCAACAATCGATATCTACCAGTCGTACGGCTAGTAGTTGCTGGAATAAAGACTTTTTGAAGCCATCGTAGTCCAATTTGATCCGTTGTCCATCCATTTTGACTGACTTCAATCCTCCAGTCAGCTGGTAAGGCTGTATCTTGATACCAGCCTTCAATATGGACCTTTCCTTTAAAGATAATGCATGGTGGAAGCACCCATCCAGTAGAGTTGATACACTCTATAGATGTAACCCATTCGCGGTTCCCTGGCTGGACAAGGAATGGCCGACCAAGCATCTCGGCTCTATTAACTACCTTAGCAGTAGCTACTAAGCCCATTGTAAAGCCAGTTTCATCAAAGTTATAGATATCTTCAAGTGCAATCCCATGCTGCATGATAGTGATCTGGACGCGATTGAACCATTCTTGAATAATCTTTGGGTCTTCACATTTAGCACGCTGGTGATTATAGCGCCTAGAGAATCGGGTTTTGATCTCATCACGCCGATTGATGAAGTTATATACCCATTTCTCACCAACTGTCTGGGCAGTGGTTGAACCACGCTTTGAAAGAAGTATATTGGCCATTTCTCGTATATGGGATGGTCGGGGAGCAGATCCACGTTGATCCATAGATAAGATCCATTTGATAAGTGATTCCTCTTCATTTTGGGTCATCTTATGCCCATTTGCGCGTGCCTCAGCTCGAAAGATATGTCCATCTAGGCGTCGTCGAAGTGTTGTACGGGGTATATTATAAACACGTGCTGCTTCTGAGATATTGCGAATTTCATGCTTCTTCAGAGCGGATATTGCAAGTACAATTCTTCCCTCTTGCTCAATTGAATCTTTTAAATTTGTATGAGCTTTTCGTGGCATGGTAATGTGTTGAATTACTTCATAACAATGGAATCGCGGTCAAAACGCGTTGGGGTGGCCGCTCGGTTACAATGGCCACTCGCTTACCGATTACGTTAATTAGTTAGTTACAACGAATGCCTGATTAAGCCGGCGGGGTCTCGACCAGTCTGAGTATCACTACGAGTCAATTAGAGCCGCCAGAGGCCAAGATCAACAAGGATACCATCGGCGGATTCACCAGGTTACCTAGCAGCGGGTGAGCAATTGTATTATTGAAGCTCGCCAGACTGAGGTGTTTATCAGTTTTATCAGTTATCTTCGGAGGCCGAGTTGCGAACATGCGAATGGGCTGGGCAACTTGGACTCAACGCAAAGACGGCTGGGGAGCAGGGAGCAGACGAAATAACACGACTGATTGTTCAAAGGCCAGCGACAATTTGACTATCT